CTCCTTCTTTCCTCGTCTTTTGTCCTAAGAATAGAGTGTTAATTGTTCTGAGTTCTACCTGAAGCACGTCTGTCACAGTAGTAGAACTAGATTATAGAGTTTTTATAACTATATATAATAATCTTAATAAATAATTAATAAATAACCCTATTTTAAGATTAAATAATGTCTACTAGCCTCTCGAAATAAAGTAAAATAAATGTCACGGATGCCAACAAAGGATAAAGTGTATACAGCTTTTGAATCAATTGCTAGAACTAAAACCGTAGGTACGAAGAAATCAAACTAAAGAGAGAAGAGAATCTGAAAGGAGCGAAGTTATTTAAGTTGTTCCAATGCCAAGTCTCGTCACGTGCTTGGCCAAGCGAATGAAATCCTGTCAAATGAAATCCAGCTCCGTCACAAGAAATGGGCTTATATTTAAACTATATATAACTTAGCTATAATATTAAGAATACTAAGTTTTATCTTAGTAGTATTTTATAGTAGATAAACTAGTTTTATCTAATAGACTAGGAAGTTTTATATAATAAGTATTTTATATCCTTCCTATCTCGCTAAGCGAAAGGGTAGAATTCTAGAGTTTATACTTACGATATACTAATCATAGCGTAAGAGGAAGATTTTGAAATTTTGTTTTTCAGCTCAAATACTACTGGATGGAAAATTAGAGCCACGGATTACCACGGACGGAGTGGTTAAAATGAAAGGATGGAGAACATGCCGTTTAATGTCATATAATATACCTATACACTTTAACTCACTCCTCCTTGGCTTAATTAAGACACTACTCTTTCCGCGCCGGATGAATCAAAATTGTCGGGTTTAAGATATTTGTTATTTCTCTGCGGCTAAGGCTGCGGACGCCTGCTATATGATCTATGTATACTCACATGATTAACCGAAGGCTAGGTAGGTAGGGCCAACCAAGGCTTCTAGGTGCGTCAGCTTCTAAATGCCTGTAAACCCCCAGGTACCGAAAAGTCTCGTAAGAAACCAAGACATTAGTTAATCTCATTGCCATACAAACGACATTAAGCGTTGTTGCGGTTCAGGTATATGGTATAGTAGTAAGTGAAGTCTAACATTAGCTAGAGATGCCCGGTTTTGGTTGGCTTCCCCGGAAATTTGGGTTCGATGACCGAGAGCCACATGTATGAAGAGCGCGAGGGGGCACATACTCTGAAGAAGGTAGAAGTCGTGCCTTTCTTCTCAATTCAGACCATGTTGCAACCTTGATAGCCCAACGAGGGCAAGGCAAGTTTCGGCGCAAGGCCAGGGTGTGGTGGAAGGAAAGAAGTTGGAACTCTTCTCTCATCATTCGAACTCCTTCGAAGTTGTTCCAGTTGACAGTCGATGTTCATGTGGGCAACTTAGAAAGGAATGGCCGTCAACCTCTGCCAACCGAGTCTCGTGTATTCAATGCTGGCGACGAGAGCATCAAGTGGCCCAGGTAGTTGATATATAGTTTCCTTCAAGGTACCAGCTTTTACACCTCTAAGCCAAGAAAGATAGGAACCGCAACGATGTTGCAATCGGCGTATATGTTGCCCGTGCAGTCAACTATATCACGTCAGCTACTGGTGTCCATACCAAAAGGGCCCCCAAAGCTCGTCTGGAAACATAACAAACATCATGTGCGATTTTTGCCAATAGTCGGAGTATCTCTATACCAATTCTTTTTCTGTGATAGCGAAGACATGATGGTTCACGAAATGCGAGACGCTTCGCAAGAATAATGGGATAAGGCTACTTCATGTTAACCATCACATAGCAGCCATACATCCAAGAAAAAGATACCAGTAATGAATAACTTTGCTTTCGGAAAACGGGAGTGTTATCTCTCACTCTCTTTAGGTTCCATTCCGACATTCATTACAACATCCCGGGGACCATCAAGCGGTATATCCCCCTCCATCTCGTAAGCTGTAGTCCTAGGAGTCCAACTCCCCTGCCCCTGTGCCTTCCCTACAGTACTAAAACTACCCGTCCTCGAAGGACCGTCCGCATGTTCCGCTCGAAAGGGCGATCGTGGACCACTAAACCTGGAATCTTTGGAACTTCTCGCAGATGAGGTTGGTCTGCTCGATGGTTTTATAAATAGAGGACGAAGCATCGGAAGACAGGCGCATATAATACCACTATCATACGGTCAAAGAGGACTGAGGGTGGATAAAGGGCGTTCAACTTACCCAAATGATTCAACGACGGTCCAAAGTAGAGTATCAATAAAGTTCCAGGTCAAGTCTCCTTCCATGTCAAGTTTGAAGACGAAGACGAGGCGAATGAGCGAAATGACGCAGATTCTGAGTACCAGAGTCAATCTTCCAGGACGAGTACAAAGGATTAGATACAAGAACTTACAATCCGCCAAAGACAAAAGTCAAAGAAAGCCCTATTCTTTTCGCCGGGATATTTTTTAATGCCAAACATATGGTAAAGGTATAATTAGTATTACAAAATCCGTGATAACGTTTGGTATTGCAGCTCCAATGTATAGGGTGCGCGATTTGATACAAGTCCCAGGAACTGCAGGGTTCCACAACTTTTGAAGCGGGACACAGGAGAGTAAAGCTGCAGTCCCCTTTTTTTGAAACGTATTAGCAGTTACTGAGGTGATGGAAGAGTTGTATTTGAGACTTACGCTTCCAATAAGCCACAGTGTAGTTATTGCCAACATAATTCGCACTGCTATCGTCATGCTTCGTACACTGAACATTCGCCAGTAGAACGCCAGGATGGAGTGCTTCGTGAAGAGGATAGACGTGACATAGGAGAATTCAGCTGGGACTAGGGTGTGGAATATGGTTGTGACTGTATTAGGAGATTCCGTTTGGACAACTGCAACGTGTTTGCCCAATCCCAGACTTGTCCCTTGGGATTTGTTAGGAAACGTCATGCCAAGTACTGTAGATGGGAGGAGTAAATACAATATATAATAAAGCTAAGACATGTGAAGGCAAGGAACTGTAAGCTTCAGTTAGCAAGTACAAATTTGCATCAAGAAGATAGAGGTGAAACCAACGTATGCGATGAAGATCAGATAATCGTCCCACCATAGAGATTGTTTTATTGATCTTCTGCAATAAAGACGTAGTAGCAATACAGTGGTTGCAATAAGACATGCTACGATAGAAGGAATCATAAGTCGATAGCTCCTATCATCGTCACCCTGAGCAACTGATTTTGGTCTCCGTTCGAATAGATGAGTGGAGGTGCTCATTTTGTATAGGGTCTTATACTATACACTGCTGTGTATAGAATAGCCCGGGTGTTAATCAAACAACAAAGAAGGGAACTCCGAAGGTGAGACGGACTAGAACATAAAAGTTGTAACCAGTACCAGCAGTATCATATTGAGAAAAGAGTATAGAGATGGAATATGTGAGATTATATGACTGATGGTGGTCCAGAATCACGCGTAGGATTTCAGGTATTCACTTATAGCATTACTTTCGATAGCTCATCGAGTACACAGACCTTAGAAACATAGAGCGACTAGGAATCAGATCCAAAATTCTAAGCCCTGATCTTCTGTGAATTTCGTGCGTGAACTTTATTAATTGAACATTTACCTCGCTTAGGCTCAATACAAACAATACTCTAACTGGCCAATTGACCTAAAAGTGTTTAAGCTATAGTTTCTTTCTCTCTCAAAACAAGCTACTCGATTGTAGTGAAACTCCCAAATGCGGGGAGCCGAAGTGTGATAAGGGATTCGGTTATCGAACTATCCATGTTTCGGGTTAACCGACGCCACAAAAGGCGGGGATACACTATCCCATAAACAGGAGGGTTTTTTGACAAGTATTTAGTACCTCAAAGCTCTGTAAACCGAAATCTACATCAGAAAAGTCGTGCACGTCCTTGGCGCACCCGAAAACTCTCCCACCAGCTGCCGACCATACTGTAGAGAATAAAGGTAGCCTTTTGCGAAAATCAAAGGGTTTATGAGTATATAGATCTGAGAACGGTCTAGGCGCAAGCTTAGCTATAAAGTTATGTTTCACCATCCAAAGCTCAGTCCTTGTTCAGTACGAGTGACATGGATAACCATAAAGCTGTGATTCACCCAAAAGCTCGGTCCTTGCTCTGTATATGAGTGGGATGGTCAGACTTGGAACATACAGGTACTGTGTAGTTAAGTAGGTCAACGGGGTATGTCCTTCCGGACTGGGTAGCTTAGTGGAAAGACAATTGGGACACCCACGTCATTTACGTTTGTAGACGTTTATTGCTAATTTTTGACCGAAACCCTCTTAGCAACCTTGCATCCCTCATCCAAAGCTTCCAAAGCTTTGCCAGGTAGTCTTTTTCAGCATCAAGATACTTCATATTTTCTTCCAACTGCTCTTTACCTCGAAGAATTCCAACGATAGTTGCACCTTCTAGCTCCCTCTTCAGTAACGAATGATGATCAATCTATCTCAAGGCAACTTCTGCCTCTGTCAACACAAATTTCTTTCACACAAAGTATACAATGCTGTGAAGTATTCTTCATCCCAATAGCAAGTGCGGTGCGCCATCCCTTGGAAGCCTGTATCATCGAAGTGAGAACCCATTTCAACGGTAGTCTCTCGAGTATAGGGAGAGGTGAGGTAGCAACCTGCGAGGGGATTGAAGGTGTAAAATTCTATGCCGTAGTTTTTAAGGTATGGGAATAGCTCAGGCTCTACGTTTCGATTGAGGGCATTGTAAGGTCCCTTAATCAGACGTCATAATAGTCTTGTAAAACAAACGGTTGTAAAACAAACCCCCGTGAAACAAGAACCGCGCTAATATACAAAAGGGCAGGGTTGACTAACCTGATAAACACTCGGCATCACATATCTTAGCCTCCCCACCTATAAAATTACTTACCCCCTATCTGTTAGATAGCCCCTCCTTATGCAACTCGCTAATCCCCCTCACCCCATCCTTAATTAGCGTTCCTCGATCCGGTCCATGCAAATACCACATGCCAAACTTCTCGCTTTTCAACGCCTCCAAACTCGACATCTAAGCCTTTCTCAAATAGTCAAGGAGATAGTCTCTATCCGCCATCCGGTGCCGGCATACCTGAACGACCTTGTGTAGGATAGAATTTTGTGTCCGCTGCTAGACCCCCTTTTTCCCATTCAAAGGCAGCGAGATACTCTTCGGAGATTCCTTCATTGTAGAGGCGACATGAGTCTACCTGGTTGTGTCCACGAGCTTGGAAAACATCTAGCATGGTGGAATAATTTAGCGGCGTGAAGACTCGTGCCGATGCCGTGCCTTGACGACCGAAAGTCACGCAGCCGAATATGACATCCACGGCAGACTTTTGTAAGGAAGTTATTTTGTTGTAAATAGTTTCAATATAAGCGATTTTGTGAGAGAACAGTTTTGAAGGTTGAGTTGGTCTTTTTTGAGTATGGTTGCTGAACCTTGTCTACTATAGGAGTCCTTCAGATCTTATATACTTGATAAGCATGGACTAGACAGAGGTGACATGATTCTTCGAGTATTCGCTTTCAGCGTTTAGCTACGTAATATCGTCTGGTCAAATTCGAAAAGCCATGGTATAACCTCATTTTCCCGCAGTCACCGAATTTTACTCCGCTTCCCAGTGTGGAATGCGGGGATTGAAAGACACAAAATATTACCCTTTCGTAAGACGGAACAGAAGTGGTAATGCAAGGCAGATAAAGTGATATGAGATACAAGAGTGCTCGCGTTGGTGTGTTTAGCGCGTAGTTTGTTACATGAATTTGTATTTTAATATTAGGTAGCGCCTACGGTATTAATCCTGCAAGGCATCTTCCACACCTTGACTAGTCAAATTATATGAGCGAATCCAGTGTAGGCCATAGTTGTTTCGGTTTTCTTAGTTAGTTTGGTTACTCCACTTTTCACGAAATTTAGGTTAGTCTTGAAAGCAAAATCTAAACTATTAGTTCAGTTTTGTCTATTAAATACAACCGGTTTACTTAGTTTTGTCGGGCATTTTATAGAGTAGTTAATACTAGTAGGTCATATAATCGCTAGTATTATAGAGTTAGAGTTGTGTAACCAGTTAAAATACTAGGAAGACAAGGGCGCTAAAACTTAAATCAGTATTTAGGTTACTTTACTATAATTATATCCACCTATCTACCCGTCCACCTACCCCCTATATCCTACTACGTAATTCTACGTACCTTGTAAGGTCGTTTACGTGCTAATAGAACAATAACCTACAATATATTAACCTACGCATAGTACTTGTATAGTAAACGAATACATATAGTATTATATATTTTATAAAAGAATTGCTTGATATTAATTAGTAGATATTAATACCTTTTAGGTTTACATAAGAGGTGATTACTAATCTAGTCTAAAATTAGGTTATTTTAACAAAACTATAATAGCTTACTTGGTTTAGCTTAACTTTTTTAATACTTAGTGTTCAAAATTAACTTACTTGTAAAGCCATGGTTAATTTTTAGGATTAAAACTAACCTTAAAAAGCGAGCAAACTAAACTATCACCTGCACTGTCTGATCTCCGAGAGCGATCATATAGAAATATTAACATACTACTAGTATTATACTATACTCGAACAACATAGAATTCTCATAGAATTCCCGGAACGTTAACCTTAATTGGCCCGGAGTCCCTGAGTTAATAGAACGTTACAAAGTCGAATAATCAAATCGCTCGTATATCGCCTCGGGTACGGAACGCGGAACGGACACTTCTGTTAAAGTGAAAAAGTGAAAAAGTGAAAAACCGACTAAAGTTAAAATCCACTTTCTATTTTCTTACTAAGTAGTATAGGATTGCTTTTATTATTTTAAAGGATAGTAAAATAAGCCTTTGTTTCCTAGAACTAGGTATATATTCGTGCTTGTCTTTGTGCTTGTCTTCGTACCTATCTTCGTAACTATCTTCGTGCCTATCTAAGTATATAGAAGAAGGAATAGTAAAAGAAGGAGGGAAAATTAAGGCTATTCTAAGGTAGTAAGAGAGGAGTTCCCTAAAAATATAGCTAAATTCCTTAACTTTTGTTTAGAATTTAGGTAGCCCGGTTATTTTAAGCTATATTCTAGTATATTTTAACCTACCTAAGCTCTACCCTACTGTGAGAGGCCAGACCTCGAATAGCTCAAAGGTGTGGTTTCGAATATTCAATTAAGAAGTGCGTAAAGACTACATACATGCGAGCTCTTCCTCTATATATAGAGAGGAAGAGCTTCCTGAATATTCCAAGAAACTTGCAAGAAACTTGAATGACGAATACATGATGTCAGAAGAACAAAACAAGAAAGTGTGGAAAAGTAGAAACCTGTTTGGCAGTGGGGTAATGGCCAGTGCTAAGCAGGGACTTTGGTCAGTGCTTAGCGAGGGCATGGCCCGAGCCTCCATCATGGGTTCCAACCCTCACACCTACGATAGCTTTACTTCTTCTGACTACCTAACACCCTGTCGGCTTACTACCTGCCTACCTGCCTGCCAGCCTACTACCTCCCTGTTCTCCCTCTGCTGTATATATTGTTAGGGTACTATATAGAGGCGATAAGGGGGACGAAAACAGGAGTAGTAGGTAGACAAGTAGTACTAGGTAGGGTTGTTAAGGACTTAAAATCCAAGGTAGCACGTAGTAGACAGGTGAGGAGGTACGAAAAAATCACGTATTTAAGGCTCTTTTAGTTGGTTTTTCACTTTTTCACTTTTCACTTTTTCACTTTAATAGAAGTGTCCGTTCCGCGTTCCGTACTCGGGGTATATACTTCCAAACTAATGCCCCCCCTCTGGAGGTCACAGACGTGGGAATGAAATCCATTGTATCTACACCGCCATCAGTCCCGAAGCACACCCAGAACTTGCCCCCCCCTTTTTTTTTGTTGAATTACACCTGTAGCCACCTGTCTGTTCCAGATTTACTGTAACCCTCCAATCGCCCCCTAACTTTGTACTTTCCAACCCTCTTATTTAAGCTACTGCTCTTGGACTTGCTCAAATCCAATAAAGGGATTTGGTTGCCGAATCGTATTGCTCTAGAAAACGTTTATTAGCGTCGCATATAACCTGCATATAACTTGTGGATGGATTTCGATTGCGCGGTTTTAGTGACGGGTCATAGTAGAATAAGGTATAGGATTTGTGTTAGATACTTGATATCTAGTCATTCTACTGGTGAGTGTGAGTGGGCTGCATGTGGGAAGTCTGAATAGCTTTAAATACTGTATAGAACCAGACCCAATTGAGTACAGTACTAATATGTGGGGCAACTCGCGACTGAGTGTAGTTACTAAGTAGTTATAACTTATACGGTCCCCTCTAGTTCCACAAGTTATCTTTACACTTTTAACACGGTCTTTGCACGGTTTTTGCCCACATCCTAGGTAGAACGAACTCAACCGCTCATAAAAAGTGGCGACAAAATGCGCCTAATATATTTCGCGCTTTTGCCACCCTTTTCTACACTTCTTACTTAGCGGTGCTTCAGGCATAATTACAGTAACTCTTACAGATGATTTTACCTGTAATCCACCAAAGCTACGCTATTTTAATACCGTCCCGCGCAAAGAGCTAGTAGCACCTATTACCTACAACAGAGATAAGATGGAGGCAAAACGGTGTAATCTACTGGTTTACTTGGCTAGGACCGTGGCGAGAAGGCCAATAGGACAGCACTAGCAAAGAAGACATTTCGTAAAAGAACTTAGCGCAAGAAGTGTATTCTTAAATGCAAATCCATTTGATTATGCAAGCTTCCTAGTACAAAGTAGAGGTCTGCGTGCCAGCACAGAGCAGCAACCAAGTATCCTACCATATCAACCCGTCCACTCCGCCTCAATGAACCACATGCGACTCTTTTCCGGCTTCCAAGCTTTCAAGAACTTATATCTGGAATCGGCCACCGCGAACAACTCGGCCCAATCCTCCAGCTCACGTTCTCTTGCATTAACGGTGACCTGCATGATAACATCCAATATCCTGTGAAACAATCAGCTCAAGAACTTCAGATGAGTCTCCGAACCTAAAAGCTTAGTCGGTAAGCGAGGTGGAGGGAGACAATTATGCAACTGACCGAATACTCTTCTCTTCCTCATACCCAACGGTTCCAGGATCTGGTAATGTCCCATCGTTAATCAAGATCCTCGCTCCCTTCTTCAACGCTGGTGTCAGTTCCCTTAGGATCTTGATGCAATACTTCTCCGAAAAGCCATGAAAGATCCACCGGAAAAAGTAGACGTCTGCAACGACAATTTGAGGAGTGAAGAAATCATGGGTGGTAAGTTGAACACGGCCTTGAAGTTCCTTTGGAATCGAGCCGATTATGTTTGCCTGCCGCATGCCCTCAGTGTCTTGGACGATAAACTTGAGTTTTGGGTATGCTTCTGCGACTGCGATGGAAACATGGCCTTGGGATCCTCCCATCTATCTGCGTTGTCAGTAAATAATTCCAGATTAATGGTACTAAGTAACTTCAGTGCGATGAAATGAAGGACTCACATCAACAACTGTAGCACCATCCTGTAACTCTCCCCAAGGATATCCTTCAACGGTGTGCACCGTATCAAATCCCTCTCTACCGCTATGAGCCTGCATAGCCAATCCATATCTCTTCGCCATACCGTCTTTCTTTTGTATGAAATCATACCAATTCACTAGACCTTATCAGCTCAATTCCCCCTTTGCCCCCAGTTCACACATCTTGACGAAGCGAGGGATTTGTAAGACCCCATATACCAGGGGAAAATACGTACAATCAGTCTCATTAGCAAGATTTGCGCCTGTCTCATTGGACTCCTGGCTATTCGGCCATTTTCTCATCGCGTCTAGAACCCTAGAGACTGGTTTCCAGAGATCATTGCATAATCCGATCCAAGCGTGCATTGATGGGCTTTTCTCTGGAATGAGAAGGAGGGAGGTGCTTGTATGCGCCACTGTTTCCCTTGGTCAATATTCATCTTTGAACCTCCGCCTCTGGTGCTATATAATATTACATACCAAACCCCTTATCAGGCTCGCAAAAAAGTCTGTTCAATATCGCATGCCGAATCAAAGGTCTCAACTTCAAAAGCGGAATTCCACACTTGTCCGCCAATTCAGCATAACTGATTGTGCCTCCATCAGCTGGCACATGTTCCGCTATATGGAACTCGTAGATTGCTTGTAGAGAGAGGCTGTTGACTGACTGTTGGGTTAATTAGCAGCTTGTCTTGGATGCAAAAAGGGATGAATAGCTCAGAGACGGAGAAATTTATTTGAATGAAGGTAACATACATCCCAGCCCAAACCCATCAATCCATTTTTAGGTCCAACAATCAATTCATTCAGCTCTCTAGTATCTCTTATCAATTCTTGTCTCGCTCTCCACGGGTCTTCCTCATTCGGAGAAACAGGAAACTCTACCAGTCCATCGAACGAAAATGAGGGAGCCTCCAGACCTTTCGCTTGAAGGTGATCTGTGAGGATTTTCGTATTCTTGGCGATGGATTCGGACAGCGTGGTTAAACCCTGGAGAGACATTGTTTTGGTGGATAAATCGGTGCGGGGTTTGTAGGTTGTAGAAGGATATAGGTATAGAGTGAGTTATTTAGTGAAGGTGAGCCAAGTCCCGAGACCAAGGAGCTGGGCTTGATGTAAATTGACCACATTATCACAAAATACGGTAGGACACTGGTAACCAAATCTCGTTTAACCTATTCTATTTCCGTCACCAGAAGACCTAATGTCCCGTCCTATCGTCTAATAAAAGTTATACATCAATTGCCGCACAAGTACAACCACTCTTAATCCAGGCCATCTATCGAATGCCTAGCCTGATCCAGGGACAGAAAAACAATTCTGTAAAAGTGCCACTTCTTCGTTGGCTTAGAGAGTCACCTTCTGCAATGCACCCTGTAGAATTGGTAAAATATCTTCAGTGGCTTGCAGGCTCTACGCCATCCGTACGAAGGCATATCCGAGATTGGGTAGATCAACTACTCCAATTGGATGAAGTATACAACGGCCGCGACCCCCAAGTTGGAAAGTGGGTCCACAACTTACCATTTGCTGTCGTGTCTTGCTGCGCGGTTGTGGAGATGTGACGTCCCACATTCGTGGAATGTTCTGCCGAAAACCCCGTATTGCAACCCCCGCATTGAAGTTCAAATGATCGTGGTTCCTAGGTGATGGTGTGGCTGATAATGATAAGACATAGGAATGGGAAACATCTCAAATGTACCCCCGGTCATGCTTCATTTATGTATCTAAGGGCCGTTGTCCATATACTACGTGAAAAGGAAGATACGAATGAGTCGAAGTATCTTTCAGACTTTTTCTTACGCCGATGAGAAATATCTCGACTTCTTCGCGCGACCACTTCAGACCTCGTGTGAAAGGTCCCATGCTGATCCCATTCAGCCCGTCATTTACGACGGAGCTCATGTATAATCCGATCATTTTCATCGTTTTGTTCTTTGGCCATGTTCCAACGGGAAGTTTGAATATCTTTTCTTCGACATTGACAAATCCAGTATCCATGAGAAGCTGCTTGTTTTTCAGCACTGATGCTGCGTCGACCCCAAAAACTGCGAGGCCTTCGTGGACGAGACGTAGGAACTTTTCCAGTTGGTAATCATCCTTTATCGTATCGTCGTCGCAGTGGGCCTTGAATTGTATATCTTGGAGTTCGACCCATCCTCCTGGTTCTAGTGTACTGAAAACAACGTGTTAGGACTTGAAGGAAAGGGGATGGTAAATTCGCTTACTTGAACGCCTGGTTCAGAAGTTTGGGCCAGTTCTTGATTGATGAAACCATATGCCGTGCGTGTATGAAATCTAGCGTGTTTGGTTTGTGCATCCATGAGGATTCACAATCATCTACTAGAAACTTAACGTTCGGAGGCACCCAGGCAGGTTGAATCGGACTGAGATCTATGCCCAGTACTTCGGCAGAAGGATATTCGTCCCCAACTAGAGTATCGTTTTAGCAAGTAATCTTTGTCTTTTCTCTCGAACTATCTGGATTTCGAACCATCGATAGCCCATATTCCCGTTCCTGTCCCAACATCCAGGATATTCTGGGGCTCTTTGATCGGTGCGTAGTGTAGTTTTCCGCCGCACAGATTGACAATCATGGCATGCTTCATATCCTCGCGCTCTTGTTCCGGCTCATCGTTTGGGAACTGATATTGTCCGCTTCGAAAGGAATGATACCGGCGGCCATTTTCAAAGGCATAGTCTCGCACGCTGGAAGAAATCGAGGTTGAGGCCGTCGAATCCTGATCGGTTTCGTAGCCATCGTCGCTGAAGTTGCCATACGGCTCACCGGCTTCAATGGTCGTGGCAGCTTGTTGTGCAACAATCTGCGCCTGTTGTGCGTTATGCTCCTCTCTCGCGGTGGGTGTTGGTGATTCTGGAAGAGGCACAGAGGACATCTCGTTGATCAGGGACCAGGATCTGGTGGTCCGTGGAAGGAGGATTTGGGGTTGAGGGGTGAGAGATGACCTTACAACTATGGCTCGGCGGTTTGATTCTGCAACATCGACGACATGGTAAAGTTGGTGCGATTCTCACATCAGATGCCCAGTATGGGCGTCAGCGTCATTGTCAGTGTCAGTGTCCACTATGTCTGGTCCAGCGTGGGCTCTATTGGATCCTTCGGAGTTCGTTCCTGCTTCGGTAAGTACGACCGTCAAAGGCAGCTCGCAGGTGCGAGGCAGAAGCTGACAAACTGCCCAGCCTGTCAAGGCTACGAGTACACCTGCAGCGGGGAGAATTGTGGAGGGGAGAGGGGAGGGTTCATGGTGCAGGTGGAGGTGCGAGTGAGGCGTTTAGGCGATACGAGGTCCATGCGAGGTGGAAAAATTAACACAAATACTCGAGTAAACATGGGCTGAAAGTATCTGCGTGCCTCAAATCCAATACTGGTATCAGTACTCGAGTATTCAGAACTGTTCATTTAAAATCATTCTTCACTGACTTCTCCTTCCTATCGTAGTCGCTGCTCTTCCGTAGGGCAATAGTGGAAGCATTCGGCGGTGTCAGCAGGGGTCATACAGCGACTGAGTGACATGCCTATTTCGTCACCGAGAAAAAATAAATGTGAATCTTGACATACACGTGAGATAGCTTTATAAGAGAACCTCCAGGGTCTGATATAGGTACTACACCCCAAAAATATATGAGCTACCAGAGTTGCAACGCCTATATCCTATGTATTATAAGTTGTTGTTGAATTAACCTATGAAAGTTGAAATAAGCTTTTTCGCTTCGCTTACAGAGTTTCGCTTCAATCAGAATGAAAAGGGGGATAAAAGATTGTCAGGGAAAGCAGATGGGTGAATAGTTGGGCTGAGTTGGAATCAGAAAAACCCCATCCCTTGATTTCTTTTAACACCCACCTACTAGTTTCCTTTTTCTTCGCCTCTCGAGCTCTAGGAACTAAAACGGGGGTTTAACGCCAGGTTTAGACCTTGAGGTGAGTGTTACTGGAAGGATAGCGATTGAAACCTAGTGTTTGTATGTACTTGTTGAGCAGAATATGGACGCATTATTGGGGGGCAGGGCTGTTTTTAACCTCTCGATCCAGCCCCAAAAGACAGAACCCCCGTAAAGAAAAATTCCAGACTTAAATCCCCAGATTCCCGCAAACAAGAACGAAAGGCACAACTGCATAAACAGCACTTGCTCCAAAGATAGCCGCCCGGGCACAGAGAAGCCCCTTCGTCTGATTATAACTATCTCCCAAGTGCTACAAGCAAAGTATAGTGGCGTTAGTACTTTGTCGACATTGGGTCTGGAACGAACTTTCGTGTGAAACTTTTGAGGACATATTTGGACTCCAATGTTTGATGACTATCAACAGCCGTAAATAAAAGACCTATTTCGCCTACAAGACGGGGGAATTGGCTCTCGATACCGCAACATTGCGAGCGTTCATGGTATGCAAATTCTCTGTGAATGAAGGAAGCAGGCAGGGTATTCCTATAATTTCCCATGGCTGAATACGAAAAGAGAACTTGTTGCTGACTGAGTAGCTACTAATAAGTATAGCAGAACCACATCTGAGTTTCAGCTTAGCAGGTTGGCCTCCAATCTTTGGCAATCCTGCGATCTCATGGGCACACCGGAATCTACCAGAATTCACTTCAACACTAAGGGTAGCCAGCGACACAGGAAAAAGCCACCAAGCCAGGAATATCAGTCTTGCTGTCCAACTAGCACAAACTCAACTACGTGTGGTCAACTTCTGTAGTATCAGTTGATGAAAATCCTGGTAAGCGAGCGAAAACAGCAGGAACAATTTGGTCCAAGCCAAGGCTGATACAGGGTCTGACGGACACCTCAGAAGAAGGATTTCGTCAAATGATTGAAATTGTGGGTTCACGAAGAGTGAGAACCGATTATTATGTTTTAGCTTGTAGATGGCTATAAAATAAGCTCCGGTGTTGGCACGCTGTATGATGGACTCCGAAGAACATACTGTTTTGTTCCACGTATTCGAACCTCTCGCACTTGAAGTTGTTATTGGCGACGAGTTTCTTCTGTCCACAGATACAACGACGAAGAATCTCGAGCGACTGCAAATCCATAACACCACCGACAAACGCTTCATGCCAAATATCTTACATTTGAACCATTCCAAGCGGCACCTTTGATGTTGTCTTGGCACAAATCTTATATACGCAAATTCAGGCACAGAATCTGATGTGAATCCCATATTTCCGAGCTTCGCACCCCAAAAGAGCTTGCAAAACGAAAATTACGACCCGAAGCAAAAGGTGGTGGTCATGCTTGCTGACTGTAACACAGCACATTTCTGGATACTCTCAGACCTGTGTCTACTCGAGTACCAATCCGAGAATACAAGCAATAAATTCAACCCTCATTATCGGCCCCCAACTGTATCCACCATGTCCCGGAAGGTCTGATGACAGATGTGCTCATCGGTGCGGACCTTTTTAGAACTTTCGCTTTCACGAAACAGAAATTCCCCCTCGTGGATTTGGAACGCCAAGGTGCTCATTCTGACATACTGTAAACGCAATGACATGGCGGTTAAAACGTGAAAAGAAACTGATGAATGGGTCAAAACGAAAGGCGTCAGATACGACCCCAGCAATAATAATAATGTCCACGGAACTTGATGTCGCTTTTCAAAAGGAACTGGAAAATGACGATGCTCAAGAACACCCAAAAAGAGAACGATCAAGAGATTTTTTCCCTACATAAAACAGCAAAATGAAGTCGACAGGTTTCAGAAAATTCGCGTCGTTTGTTGCATCGCTTAGACGGGTAGGTGAATCTTTTGACCAGGATTCGGCACCCTGATGTTTTTCACACTAGAATATACACCCAAAAAGTCGCCGACCCGCCTAGGGGATAGCAAAAATCGCACAAGGTGTATAGAGGATGATGATACATAGGTAGAAAGGGGGTATCGTGGTAATGGCGTGGGAACAGTTCCTAAAGAAGTTGAGCACCGATTGTCTAGTGTGGTGAAGTACGGCGGTAATCTCTTCAAAACTTGTGGGTATTGTAATAAAAGAGTCCATTTGAGTTGAGTCGCAATCAAGTCACTACTCAAGCTCTTATTCAATCAATTGCAAACTATCCAGCATTATCTTGGTTGAATAGTATTGATATATTTGATTGTGAGGCGTAAGAAAGCTGGAGTGAATTCAACGTTGCCGCTTTTTCATATAGTCACGTGTGATAGCGTTAGCGCGGATCAAGCGAGGTTGATCTCCCCACTGCCCGTTAATTTTCGAGAATCCATCACCAAATCTTCGACCAAATCTTTTCACGCCAAACTTTACGACAACGATTGCACTGATAACCATCAGGTCAGTAACATGCGAACACCAATATCTGGATAGCATCATTCTCGGATACCGCGATCAGAGTTTATTTGGAGAAGATGGCAGAATGTGGAAATGAGATGATGGATGGTCGAGACTTGGGTTGGATCGCACACAGGAATTTCACGAATCTCTGCTGCTACGAATCTGCGCAACCTCGATACTGTACCTTACCAATCGCATCGTTATCTTCCTCTCGAACACTCTGATCGTGGAACGAGTCTGGTATCTTCATGGCTTGACCCTCTCCTTCAATTCCCTTTACGCCCTTCTCTCCTCCAAGCAGCTCTAGCTAACACTACGCATCTTCACAGAAACCGCAATCATGGGTATCAGTCGTGATAGCAGACACAAGCGCAGTGCCACCGGTGCCAAGCGTGCCTATTACCGTGCGTAGTAAAAAGCCCATGTGTCTCTGACATATGTTCCAACCTGAAAACTAAGACTTTTGCAGGGAAGAAGCGCGCTTTTGAAGCCGGACGTCAAGAATCCAACACCCGTATCGGAACCAAGAGAATCCACCTTGTCCGCACCCGAGGTGGAAACCGAAAATTCCGTGCCCTCCGTCTCGAAGCCGGTAACTTTTCATGGGGATCTGAGGGAATTGCCCGCAAGGTCCGTGTGATCGTTGTCGTTTTCCATCCTTCCAACAACGAGTTGGTCCGAACCAACACCCTCACCAAATCCTCCGTTGTCCAGATCGATGCCGCTCCTTTCCGACAATGGTACGAGGCACACTACGGTCAGAACTTGGGACGTAGACGTCAAGCCAAGGTTGAGGAGCCAGTGAAGAAGAGCAAGAGTGTCGACGCGAAGCACGCTGAGAGATTCGCCGCTGCAGGAAAGGTCGAGCCAGCCTTGGAGAAGCAATTCGAGGCCGGTCGCCTTTTTGCCGTTGTCTCTTCGAGACCAGGACAGAGTGGACGTGTCGATGGTTATATTCTCGAGGGAGAGGAGTTGGCTTTCTACCAAAAACAACTCAGAAAGTAAAGGAAATTTTCGTTGGGTTGGGCTGGGGCGTGTACTTCTGGAATTCATGGCATTGGAGTTTCAGTCACGGAATACTTTGTGATATGTTAGCTCAACGGCTCTGAGCAAATAAAAAAAAGAATACCAAGCAAGTACAAGGCCTTGTAAGAATGGTTTTATGATATGATGACATGCCCGCTCGTTTGTTATTGGTTGATATGATATGACCCTGGTGATTATTAACCCCGCAATTCCAAGTCCATCAGACGACCCCACGATGCTTTTCCCACATGTTGTTTTGTGGAGATTTCTTATTACCGCAACATCTCCCGTCTGCGCAAACCACATTCACATACCTTGTGTAGACGTTTAACACGGTCGCATGAATATTCGTTTTCAGGCCTATATAATCTTATTCCATCGCCATGTCCGCAGCAGCCTCCACCTCCGCCGGCCCCTCCATGTCTCGCTCGACCAACCCCTCTGCAGCTCCTTCCCAACACTCCGTCACTCCCTCTAACGCACCCTCAAACTCCAAATCTCTGACAGCGCTCTCCGCAACTCTCCCACATAACTCATCATCGCTTCCACACAGTCCCGAGACCATGCGGCAGATCCAAGAATCGCGCGCCGCGCTACTGGCGCAAATGAACAGCGTCGGACAATCAGCTACAGCTTCTATCCAAGAACGCGCGCAAACTCTCCATAGCAACTTCCAGCAGCTGGGGAAACAGGAGAAGGAGTTGGCAAAAGCCGTGGACGGGTTGAAGAAAGAGAGTGGGAAGTTGGAAAGAGTCGCTAAGGAGGGGAGTAGAAGGGTCAAGGAGCTGGGGAATGTACAAAATTGGGCGGAGGTACTGGAGAGAGATTTTTTGGTATTGGGGGAGACTATCAGGTTGGCTAATGGGGGAAGCGACTGGAGTGGAAGTGGGAGTGAGGAAAGTTGGAGTAGTTATAGTGGGAGTGAGGATGGGCGGGATGATGGGGAAGAAGGGAGAAGAGGGGTGGAAGAGGTGGGTAATAGGACCTTGGATGGGGAAGGAGATGTTGCTATGGAGGGCGTGTTGACCGGTGGGGAGGGCGTGGCAAAGTCGTCTGGTGTGGATACACAAGTGGACGTAGTTGAAAATGAAGGGAAGGGAAACGATGATGCTGATATCGCGGAGTCGGTCCACACGAGAGAAGGCACAGTCTCTACGGGGATGCAGATTGATAATATTGGAGGATCTTCGACTGCAACTACAGGATCCCGTGGAACCGAGACCACTCAACAATCTGGGAGTTCTTCCATCCATACTACACAATCGGCGATGGGTTGAAATACGCTCACATATATCTCATGATTGTGTGTATATGGATAGTCCATATTTTATACGAGATCCAAAAGAAGTGGTCCGGCACACCACGTCACAGTGAGAAGAACGGAATAAAGGGACACGCGATTGCCAGAAAACAAACAATCCATGCTCGCCTCTAGCTTCCTTCGAAGCATCGGGGATTAGGATTAGCTTGGTTCTTGGAGGATTGAAACAAAATTGGTTACGAGTTTGGGGTTGCGAGTTCGTCACCGAACCACTTCGGGAGGACATTGTTGAGAGACATTGCTCATCGCAGCATTCAAAGCAACCACCCCCAAAATCCAAGCGGCTTCTTTGTCACATGAATCGGGACGGCAGATTGGAAATTTCGACCTCTTTTGACCAATCCGCAAGCAAACTGCCTGTACTGGCTGAAGGTTCATTTTTAAAGAAGCGAGGGTTCGGAGACCAAAGAGATACATGTCCTTTCTTATCATCAGAGCAAGGCCTCAGGGATGGAGAGAAACCAGTATGATTGGTGCTTGGAATACTTCTAGCTTGGTTAGCCTGTTACCTAGACTTCCTTGGATCAAAGGTAAAATATAATTGGTTCACCAGTTCTCCCTACATTTTTTGAACTAAGCGTTTAGTCAAGCAGTTTCAAGGCCAGGTGTCGAAATTTGAGATTTGGCTTCATCGCTTCCTCCGGCTTGGGGATCGGTTCGATGTTCTTTCCTTTACTCGTACCGTGGTAAAGCAATGTTGTCAGATGTGCTAGGGTGACAGATTGGAGTGGCAGAGGTTGGCAAGACGCCTTTGGGGCCCTTCACAGAAGAGCTTTCCACGGGTCTCTAGGCAGAAAAGTCTACCACGAGCTCATCGCAGTCCTCGAATATCTATGCATGAGAAGGACTTCTACCCAGTAGGAGCCTCCAATCCACGCTGTGACGCACTTCACCCTACTCCACTCTGCCATCCTAGCATATTTAACAACATCAATTTACCACGATACCCCGTTCCTCAACTTTGCTCTTGTCATCTGGACTTCTGTCTTCTTGTCGTCCCGGGCGTACTCGCATAAGATTTTAAAGGCACCAAGCGATGGACGCTAGAATAAAGGTTAGTAAACGTCCGCATATACGACTCTGGTCTTTTGCTTTTGAGAATTAAGGAATTGAAATTGTTAGTTTTACATTATATCTGTTTGCCTCACCTGCATTTGGTTAGGGGATAGTTTTGTAGCGTTGTGGACAGATATATGTTTTGGTGTTATTCTATACTCCCTCGGCACTCGCGAGCCTCTTTGGTTCTTTATTTCGGACCGTATCTGTATGGACAAAGTATTGCGCAGAGAGAGAGTCCCTGGCAAGTGCTATATATCTGACTCGGTCAACAGAAAGTCATAGTTGATGCTGCTACTATTCTTTTGGGGTTGATATCTTCTTTTGGGGAATACCTGGTATTTATCGTGCGATTCTTTGCAATGAGAATTCCAAAGGTTGAACTGTGAGGTCAAAGTGTCAAACCGCTTAACCGAAAAGAGGATCTCTTGTAGGGGTCTCTCTGCTCTGGGCTTTTCCCGTGCACGAAGGATAGGCATCAAAATATCGGTCGAGTCCAATCCCACGTTGTCCACAACATAAAGAAAAGAAATCCCCATGTTAGTTCGTTTCGTTTCTTTGGGGTTGGCGAATCGTCTTCATGTTTTGTCGATCATTGTCACCTCCCCACGTCTCAGGACGGTTTCTTGAAACAACAACTCAGCCTCCACTGCTTAATGTTTAAGCTTAACGGGTGTCTGTGCAATAGGATTAACGGCCATCGTGAGATCATCTGTACCATGCCAAGTTTTCTCATGATCTCGACCAGAACTCGGGCGCTCCAGGTGCCGTCTATTGCTGAGACTTGACTAGCTTCAGTTTCTACCCTAAGGTTTCCTCATGCCTAAGTATATGGTAGAGTGTGCAGCCGTTCCATCTCGACTTTGACTCTCTTTTGTCGCTCTCTGCTGGTAGATTTCCTTTTGAAATTGCAATTCCTTATTGTCGTTCTACTCTATTTCGTCGATCTTTTGGAAATATTAATTGTGCTAGCACATTAAGTTTTCACCATGCATCTCACTTACATTTTCCCCTTGGCCTTGACGGCTGTAGTCAGCGCAAATATCGTCAAAGATCCTATGCCGGCGGCGGCTGTAGGACAACCGGCAGCAGAAATGCCAGCAAGTATGCCCATGCCCGCAGCCGCTGAGGCTGCTCCGGCTATGTCAGAGAACGCACCGAAAACTCCAGGAGCCGACTCATCGCCAAGTGGGAAGGATGTAACGAAGACCTTGACCCAAATTCTGGACGAGAACAAGGCGAAACTCAGCACCTTGAATAGTAAGTTCTCGATCATTTTTAGAGGGATAGACGATTGATGATTTTATCAAGCTTTGCTCGGCATGGAACCAGGACTCCTTCAAATGCTTAATAGCATGAAGGACCTCACAATCCTGGCCCCATCAAATGCAGCATTCACCAAATTCGAAGCAAGTGCAGGAAATAAAGCACAGGTTGCCAATAAAATGATGCTCGCTGGAATTCTCGAATACCATGTCCTCAAGGGCATGCACATGGCTTCATCTATCCCAACCAAAATGGTCTTCTTACCGTCTCTCCTCGGTGCCCCAATGAACATGACTGGTACTGGCCGAACTATGGGTGCAGCGATGAAGCGACGAGCAATGATGGAAATGGAGGGGATGTCTGGCAATATGGAAGGCATGGAAGGTATGCCAGGTATGGCAGGTATGGCACCAGAAGCCGCAGCAGGGCCCGGATCATCAGCAGCCACGAACTCAACCTCGAGCAATTCGACCTCGATAATGAGTAATGTCTCAGGTGGACAGGTCGTAGGTGTTGTTAAGAACGGAAATAGAGTTGAAGTCATGTCTGGATTTAAAGAGATTGCTACAGTGGAAACTGCCGTTAGTTCCTCACTGAAATTACATCGGGTACGAATACTAATTTGACCAGGATCTCATGTATAACGGAGGTGTTGTCCATATCATTGACAATGTCATGGCCGTGCCCCGGACAGTCTCTTCAACGGCTCTTGACTCTCAGCTGACAGCTTTGGTCGGTGCTCTCAAAAATACCAATCTCGTCACCGCAGTTGACACGACGAGAGATGTCACCGTATTCGCACCAAACAACGACGCATTCAAGGCTATCGGCGGTACTGCCGCGACATTAGATATGCAGCAACTTTCTACTATCCTACAATATCACGTAGTCAGAGGCACAGTCGGCTACAGCACTCTCTTGACCATGGGGCTGGCCAATAGAACTTTGACCACCCTTGCAGGTAATCGGCTGAGGGTGACAGCAACTCAAAACAAAGTCTTTGTCAACTCTGCTCAGGTCGTGAATGCGGATGTTCTCGTCAACAATGGTGTCATGCATGTTATCAATGAGTACGCATCTATTCTACCTTTTTTGAGAACATTCAGCTAATACAGTATGCAGAGTCATGAACCCAAGAAACACAACCGGAGTACCAAACCCAGCTGCAACAGTAGCACCTATTGCATTTGAGGGTGCCAAGCCAGCTGATCAGGTCCCATTCACATCCGGCATCAATCCCACTACCACCGCACCATCCGCAGCTACCAGAACTAATGCAGGGTCCGCCAACGACCCCATCAGGGGTGTCGTGGGTGCGGCTGCTTTGTTTGGATTTGTTGCTGCATTGTAGGCTATTGTGCAATGGTGATGATGATGATGGGGATGCCGACGATACCAGGACTTTTGGGGTGGGAATCGGAAAAAAATTGGAATTGTTTTTGATACAAGTAGGCTCTTTTTTTTTAAAGTATATAAATGCATATATGTTCCTTTCGTTGTAGTTACTATCAACGAATGTATTGTTTTTGGCGATATGTTTGATTTCTTCTATGATTGCAAAGCATCGCCTTTTTGAATTCTGGGACGTGTCTGATTTGGGTGAAAGAAGCGGTTACTGCAGTATTTGATAATTCGTATTACAAATGTAATTGTTTAAGCTCCCAAGTACGGATCTGAGACCCGTTGGAATGAAAGCCTTGTAACGATAGCAAGATTCCCTCCTACTTGTAGATGTGATATTAAAAGAGCACAAAAGAGGTCGCCCCCGACATCTCGTCGGCAGAACACACCTCGCTTAACCGACGGCCCTCCGTATTTTCCGCATCATCCCCCTCCTCTATCCTTCTTTTTTTTCGGGCCTGAGTAGCAACTCGGTATGACATGAGTGCGATATTATTTGCAAAACTGTGTGTTTCAAACCCACTATTCTGTTCTAGATTTCTGTAGATATCGTAGAGTGATATGTCTGGAAAATTGTCGTCTTGTAGAGTGCCCCATACTAATCTCTTCTTGGGCTCCTCTCCCGTTTGGAAAATACGAACTTCGAGGGAATGCTTCACTTGGGCTTTGGAAACCTTTGTCCAAAATGTCAGAGTGTTCGTAGTATGCTTAATAGTACAACTGGGGACCAGGATCTTTATCTGGAGCGATTTTCATCCCTTAGATGCAATCGTATTCATGTCTCATACTGCTATATAATATTGCTGAGAAGGGGTCTCAGTGGGTTTTTTAAGACGGGGTTGGCATTTCGGAATTTTGGGTCAGAAGCAGGGGTTTTGTAACTTCAAGTGTATATAGAGAGAGAGAGAGAGTAATCTTCCAGCCAATTGAAGTTATTTGCATGCCACAGATGACTCATATATGATAAAATCCACTTGTACTTCATTAATAATTCATCGAAAAACTGGCGTATTGTGCTGGCGTATTGTGCGTATGAATGAAAATCTTGCTAAAAGTCAACGAGCCCCCACAACTGCTCAATATTTCCCTTTCAATATCACAACCTTAATTTCAGGTCTTAGCAATTCCTACCCTGTCATCCCTCAAATATCCCTTTCCATTTGCCCTCGCTTCCAGTCATGTCGCGAATCTGTTGAACCTTTTCTATGCGTGTCGTTGTCTTTTTGCCGGAGGAGGATTTGAAGTGGTACCCATTCTTGGCTCCTCTGGTGTGATCAGAGTCTGGCTCCTAAGCAGCTCATGTTTCAATTTGGCGTTCTGTTGCCTTATTATCGCTAACTCTAATTTTTTAACCTTCAAGGTTTGCTCTAGAATTTTTGCCTTATTCTCTGCTAGTATGTTCGCGATCGAGATATCTGCTGGAACTTGAAGTATTACGTCTAGGTGTGCAGGTTTTTGAAACTCAGGAAGTTCTCCGAGTACTAGTTCAAATTTTGATTCTTCTTCCGAGTCATTACTAAGATCAATCATAACTTGAACCTCCTCTTTAACCTCTAGCTTGACCGGAGTCAACGTAGGATATAGTGGCTTTAAAACAACTAGTAGCTTCCGCTTTTCTTCCTTGATCTCTGGTTTAAAGTATGTTTCCTGTTCCGGAAAGGCGTGTCGTTCTTAACGTGATCCAGGTACTGAATTTGACTCCCTAAGGACTTTGTTTGTCTGATGTTCGCCCACGGTCTCATCTTTTACGTCCTTCCTGTGACGGTTCATCGCAGCTAGTATTGGTTCAGTAGATATCGGAGCGTCAATTGTATAGTTCTCTAGTGTAGGTATACTGTCGATCTGCTGCGCTTTCTTAGCACTCTTCTCTTTGTACGACCTGCTAAACTTCTTGAGTAGAATATCAATGTAGGCCGCGATAAATCCGTTTACCCAAGGTTCCGCTTCTATAGTCCAAGCCACGTTATTTTTGTACATTTCTGTAACCACTAACATGCTGATATCTTTTACGAGGGGTTTCGATGTAATCTGAGCCGGGTTGTATAGGTCTTTAATTTTCGCGTGGGAAACTTTGAACGACCTCCGAGTTAGCGTATTAGTGTTTATGCCGGTGATTTTTTCGAATACTCTCTTAATACTCTGCCAATCTTTGCGGCGAGTACCATTAATTAAGAATGATCCGAAATCGCGGTTGGTCTTCTTACGGAGATATTTAATTGCGAGTTGTTCGTCGTGGCGTGGAAAGATGAAGCGAGAGGGTTGTCGAGGCATTTTGAAGAAGTTAACTGACTATAGTTAGTCCGAGACTATTTCAAAAAGATACAGGCGGTATGTATTTGTCTTACAAGCTGTGTTCTGATTTCACAGTCTGGGTGTGAAAGGCGCATGACTGTTGGAGGTGGATAGTCAGCATTTAGACCCATTTCTGAAGCGGTCTCAGGGATCATGTGTGGTAGAGATACTGCTTGAAGGACTATGTGCACACTCACCTTTGCAGTATCCTTTATTGCAAAAGATGCTTGAGACCCAATTGTAGCTTGTCGTATCCTTGGGCATTCTTCGTCTGAGGGAGGAGGGAGAAGATAGTATCCAAGCTCAACCAATGCCGAGATAACTTGAAAATGAAGGTAGAGTTTTGTTTCATTCTCCAAGTGTATAGCGAAGTTGGATGGGTGGGTGTCAGCTTTGAATGTAATAACAGAGCGGATAAATACGTCATGTGAACCTAAGGCAATGATTCATCCAGCAGGTAGTTGAAGCAGGAGCGATGGAATTGGTATGCAACTATACCTACAAATCTAGACAAACTGGACTTCTTTTAGAATTATATTCCTATCCATTAGCGATTCCTGGAAGTAATGTATACTAACTTTAAGTGACTCCATGTATAGGGTCTTCCAATTCCTTTTGGAAAATACTGAATAATTGTGTCTTCTTGATGCCCTAACCAATATTACAAATAGAGGCTCTCCTTGTAATTCGTCAATGGACCAAATTAATGAAAGACTTCTAGCAACAATCTGTCACTTGGAATTTCTCTAAGGTTGTAGCGTGACAGGTGTAATTTATGTCTTTATTTGAATCTTGATTCAGAAAACCTAGGGAATCAAAGTTCGGAGTATCTTATTATTCTCCCATATTTCAAAGCTTCATAGAAAGCAAGTAACTGATGTTCGATATAAGGACTGTACTGTGCTTCTTCCAACCACAAAAGCAAGTATATAGTCACAAAGTCGGCTACTTAAATGCTCACTTAAGCAGAAGATTCCTCGTAGATAAATTTTTCCTTCCAATCATTATTGATACCAGAATTACATACGTAGGTAACAAGCGCAAATCCAATCCTGAAGATTTCATTACATGCCCATCTCATCTCTATCCTGGAGGTTCTGAGAACTCTAGATTTGTTCTTTAAGCCATCACTTTGAGTCCAAGTACTCAATTCAAACGACAATTCCATTCCAGCCTTCGCAATTTTATGGCTCCTGTTTTCTGTAGCCGTGCAATTTCCACAAACTCCAGTTTCGACTCTCGGTAAATTCCCATGCAATAAAACATGAATTTTGGCCATTGTCTTCCGGAAGACACGAGATTCAACATTCATGTTTCTCATGCTCCAACTAAATTACTCAAAACTTCTTCTGATCCAGTTTCAGCAAGCTAAAGAGGGTGGTTAGCTTAGACCCACACCATGTATTCAGATCCTATGCAAAACAGTATCTCTGCTGAACCACCCGGAGGTTTTTCTAACAAGGAATTAGCACCCCGTTATTTTTCACACCAAATTCTACACCAAAAAGTCGTGCACGTCCTTGATCTACCTGAAAAACCCCCCGAGCGGTTTAGGAGATACTGTATCTACAGAACACGTATGTCGGCTTCGTTGATTTTGCCGAAAATCGGGCCCGTGCCGCATTATGAGCTAGCAGGGTGTAAATATAGCTGCTAGCTGTCCACTCTCTAATTTTCAAAAAAACCGCGACACAAGGATATGCTCGGACAGTCTTTCAAGGGTGTAACCGAGAATATTCTTATGTCAAGGATCCTTGTATCAAGGGTTTTCTATTGTCTTACAGTAAGCTTTCGTTCACAGAGATTTTTGCACCTCTTCTTTATAACCACGGTCAGCTTTGCTTGTAACACGTAGATCAATTGCTGGAAGTGGTGTAGATACCGCAACTTCAGAATGTTTATCGTCCCAATTTCGGGGTTCCCAGATTCAGACTTAACAGCTGGCAAGCTCCATGAAAGCTTAATTCCTTTGTAACTCCTGTAGGCTGTAGCTTTGCTGTTGTCTTTGATATCACTTGATTTACAACTTGTTTTAAAGTGGGGCACGATGGTTCTTCCGTGAGACTTTTCTTCACGTGCAGCTATCAAAAATACAAAAATAATAATGTCACAATTTACTTATTACCAAGAAGATTAGTTGCTTATCTGTCTTTTTCTCCACTTAGGCAGGTTCGTCTGCGTGTTTACGCCCTCGAATGCGTCCGGGTTTTATCATTTTCTTTCCCAGATTCGGTGCCCGGAATTACTGGTGGTATTGATCAACTTTATCAAGCTCAGGATATCCTGTTAATAGCAGCCCATTAACGCGCAACATCTGGTGGAAAGGGATGATTTATGTGATATGCTTCAAAATACGATAGAATGGTTGATTATTATTCTCTTCCCACACGGTGGTGAGTTGAAACTTGTATTAATTTCTACTATTTCAGGCATTATTTTTAGTATCCTCATGGAACTTGATATCGGAGGTTGCCAAAGATAGCATTTGCAATTCTGGGCAGGCGCAAGTCGTTATGCGAAATGCCGGAGGTGGGGCCATGTGCTCGTCTCCTGGCGAACATAGCGCAAGTTTAACGACGGGGGTGAAAACTTCTACTTCGTACTTCGAAGTACAGTACAGAGGGTTGACAGCTCGGAGTTGCGCCCTGCAAGTTATTAGTATGTCTCAGCCCCGCCTTTTAGCAAACGCAGCGAATCAGAGACTCGAATCTAGGTGTGGAAGACTTTTCTCACATATGATCTGCGTGACAGGCGGCAGATCTAACCGTCCCATACTTCGTAGAAGTTAAACTCTAAATCGACCTTGGCCTTCCAGAGAACATTGGTCCATGAACGCTTTCGATTCTCGAAGTCAATGAAAGCCCTCCTCTGGTTATTGAGAGAGCTATATGCCCTCGCTACTCATCTCTAGACTCCCAGTACCGTTACCCAGGAGGCCGGCCAGCCAGCTTCCTTATTGTCTTGTCAGTCAAAAATATTTCCGCAAAACCTTTGGCTGTTAGTAGTTTGCTGTCACTAGCTGGCATAGTGGCATACCAAAGGAGCTCGAGGTTTACTTTTGCTTAGCAAAGCTTTGCAGACTTGGCTACACGGATAACCCCTTGGGGTGATCATGTCGAGGCCCTTTTTAGCACTTGCGGCAGTGCCTGGCTTCGGGATTTATGTCTTGTGTGTGTAAGAAATATTTCTTTCCCAAGCTAAAACAGTGATGTCCGGGGTCCTTTTCCTAGGCGCTTGACAGAACCACATTGTGTATAAGCGAGGAGTCCTCCGCAATAATTTTTGGCTCTCCACCCTGCTTGTCACTGTCTTTTGCTCCTTCTTTCTTTCTTTGGGTACTTTTTATTCCATTTTCAACACCACATTCGTTATTACACTTTGATCTTTTTCTCTTCTTCTACAGCCTCAATAGCATTCTTTTCAAACAGTTCACTTCTACACCACGACTTTTTCAGTATGTTGATCCCCAACATCATTGCCGTTGCTGCGGTTGCCGCCACTTTCGTCTCCGGATTGCCTACGGTCACCGATGCCAATTATGCCGTCCTTGCCGCGCGTGAAGCTGTCCCCGCCTGGAGCACGCAAGCCCATACTGTATCCAAGCGAGGATTTGGAGTTGGGGGAAAGAGCAAAAGACAAAGCAGTCCCCCACGACAATCTAACCCTAAGCCCGACGATCTCACCCGTAGACCATTGACCTCACCCTCACGACAAAGACGCGCATCCCCTCCAGTTCCTGCCGGTGAAACGCTCGAGAAGAGAATGAAGTTCGGAGGACTTGGAAAAATATTTGGAAAGAAGAAGAAGCCCAGTAGCCCACCTGCTGCCCAAAGCATCCCAGAACGACCAGCATATCCTGCAGCACCACCACCAAGAGCAGATGGCAATCCATTTCCTACATACCACAACAGACCCCACAGCATGCAAGTTCCACCAAAGCCCTACGAACCAAATTTCAACGCACCACGACCCGGATCCCCTTCACCACGACCTGGAGAGTTTGGCAATCCATTACCTTATGGCGCGAAGCCTTCAATCGGGAAGCGTGATGTTGCTGATGAATCCCTCGAGAAGAGACAAGGAATATATGCTGCACTCAGAAGTGGCCCACGTCGACCAGCATCTCACTCAGCTCCAGCTCCAGCCACACAAGCTCGAAATCGTGACTCCTTCATGGATATCTACGACCAAATGCGAGCCAATCCTGCCGCCTTTAAGAAGTCCGCCCCCAAGAAGACCACCCAGAAGCGTGACGTCGAGGATGCGGATGTTGAGAGCGATTATGAGAGCGACCAAGAAGACTACGAAGATGATCTCGAATCCGATGACGAAGACAATGTAATTGTTTAGGGGCAGGAATGAGGACCCAGCCACCGAAGGCGCAGCCAGGAAAAGCCAAGCAATTTTGGAGGTCGACCAATTCGTTTGAGAGAACCCGGAAACTCTTGAATCTCTGTGCTCGTCTAGCAACTGGTGGATTTCTGCCTCCATAAGCAGAATCCAAACATGACTCAGTGGACGCTCCTCGACTGAGTTTGTATGAAGGAATCGGATCGGATTTGTGTTTTCTTTAGCGTTTATGATTGTTTTTGTCTTGTCAGTGTCTTATAATCTTGGAAAGCCCGTGTTTTGTATTTTGAACTGTTTGTTTAGTGTACTGTTTATGTTACGAGAAGGATCTAGAGAAAATATATCCAATTTTACTAAACGCGTGTTGGACACTGGTGATCTCGAATTCCCTAATCATAGTATATGATGTTCGTCGATGGTTTACGGGCTGATATAATTGGCTTGGATCTCGACAGCTGACAGATTGTGGACGTTCAGATCTAATAGCCCAGCCTTCGCACTGTTGATGGCAATTGTTGAAGATCACGTGTCAAGTTTTAGTAAAACACCCGACCTTAAACGAGGTTGACGCTCTGTGAGATAACGAAGCGACCAAACGCAATTTCAGACCGTTATGAGAGAACCATGCGGGAAACTATCTTCTTCCAGTACGGCTTCAATGCCCAGTTTGCTCGCGAGTAATTCTGAAAAAGAAAATTAGGCGCGAAACGTGATAGATGTCATGGCTCCTGGTAACGAGAAAAGTGCTAGAGATTTCTGTTCTATCAGTGTAAGCTAGTTCAAAGCGTTTCAATGTTCCAAATCTTTTCTTCTTTCTTCGGATATCTTAGGATAATCAACTTGCCTTCTTTGGGGGTTTAGCCTATCTGATTTATTTATGCTAGATAATCGAAATAATAAATGGCCTGATTAAGTTACACTTATAGAATTGGGTTTAGAACTTTTCGTGCTCCGGCCCCCACGACGACCCGGTCACTGTAGGCTATTTAGAAAGACCAAGATACGTCCAGCCTCCAGATTACACTGGACGGCTGAACGGCCCGGTAGTACCGTTGTGCATGATACATCGCTTCGTACATATGCAGTAGGCTGCGGTATCGGTGATTGCTCGGTGTGAGGGGTTTGATAAGATATGTAAATACTTCTGGTTCCACATCTGCCAGATACAGGGGAAGGAATCTTCGATATTCTCACAATACCATTTGGTTGAGACGTTTTCAAATGTCAATGCGTTGTTCTAAATCACACAAGGTATTAGAACCATTACCTCAGTAAGAAGCCATAAATTCAATTCGCCAAACACCATAAACGCACCAAGCGCGTCCCACAAGTCATAAAGTCATAACCCAATCCCCAAAATTTCCCCATTCATTCATCGCTTCACAACCCCTTCCACCAGCTCGTCTCCCCAACCTCAAAACTACCCTTCTGAGCAATCTCCGCGCTCGTCGACCCAACAAGCACTTCATAAGTATCCTTCTCACAAATCCACGAATCCCTAACCTCATCCCAAAAACTCGTAGCGTATTTAGTTTCAATGTCGATTTGCACATTTTGACTCTCTCCTTTTTCAAGAAAGACTTTCCTGAATCCTTTCAGTTCCTTCTTGGGCCGCTTGATACTTGGATTTTTCTGGGAAATATAGACTTGGACGACTTCTGCACCCGCTACCTCGCCGGTATTGGTGACTTTGACGCTGAGTTTGAGGAGCATGTCATCTTTCGTGAGTGAAAGATCAGTGATATCGAAAGTAGTATAAGAAAGCCCATGGCCGAATGGGAAAAGCGTGGGAAGATCGAGCATTTCATAGTATCGATATCCCACATAGATATCCTCTCCATAAATCGTTCGTCCCCTTTCCGTTCTGTAATTCAAAAACGCTGGGTTGTCTTGCAATCTTTTTGGGAAACTGAGGGGGAGTTTAGCACTGGGGTTTACGTTCCCGAATAGAACGTCGGCGATTGCATTGCCGGTTTCGTTTCCGCCGTACCACGCGTGGATCATTCCTTTGACAGAGGAGGCCCATGGCATTTCGACGGGTGTACCGGATTGCATGACGACGACGGTTGAAGGATTCGCTGCTATGACTGCGGAGATAAGGGCGTTTGTGGAACCTGGGAGATCCATATTCTCGCGATCGGTACCTTCGCCTTCCCAGTCGGCCTGTAAATATGTCAGTCTCGTTAACCGGAATTGGGAAAAGTAACTTACATTCAGGCCTGTACAGATGATAACTTGATCAGCTTGCTTTGCCAATTCCACAGCACGTTCAATCTCTTCTTCAGGGTCAATGACCTTGGCCCCTCCGATTCTGACAGCACCACTCCCAAAAAGGGTATTATTACCAGGATCCAATTTGCAAGATGGAGCACTGCTAAACTCAACCTTGATATGGTATGTTTTTCCTTTCTTGACAGAAAAGATTCCCTTCTCCTCAACCGTACCACAATTAAAGAACATGGTACCTTTTCTTTGAGTCGCCGCGTTATCAATCAGTAGCTTGTCATCAACATACAACTTCGCAGCTCCATAAACACCAAGACCCAGCTCAAAATCACAGTCTTCCTCTGCTGTGTAGAAGCCTTCGATGTCGGCCCAGAATAATTCGTTCTTGATCTTCTCGCACGTATAATCCATCATCAGGAGCTCAGTCTTCGTGAGAAGTAGGTCGTCGGCTATTTCGCGGTCTTTGACTGATGGTGGTTCGTTGTATGCTTTGAATGAAATACCAGTCTCGCCCTTTGCTGTCTTGAGGATCTCGCCGAGGAGTGGTAACTCTTTGTGGGCGTAACATCCGACTGTGTAAGATGGCTCGCTGGTAAGCTGTGCTTTGATACCATCAAAAGGAGTGATTGCGTAAAAGCTAGCAAGTGCTGCCGAACCACCCCCATGATAAGCTGCATATTTAGCATTAGGACCAAGAACGAGTGACTATAGAATCAATTAGCATTGAATTGAATCTATGGATTTAAATTTCTCGCCTTCTTTTCTTTTGACAACGGCAAGACCTTGTCCTCATTCTTCATCAACACAATACCTTCCCCACCAATCTTTCGCAAAAAAGCAGCTGTCTCCGGTGTATTCGCAGCCAGCTCCGGGGCATTCTCTTCAATCTTTGCTGCTGCAACACGATTGATGAGATTGAGAACATTTCGAACACGTTCATCAAGAATGTGCTGATGAACCTTTCCTACTGTGACAGATTGCTGTAAAGCCATTCCTCTCCATCGAGTAGGGCCAGGCATTTCCAAATCAAGACCTGCGTTAATGGCTTCGGACGTCGAATATGTTCCCCACCTGTACAATTCAGTAAGACGCCAAATGAAAGGACCTTGAATATACATACCAATCGCTCATGACTACGCCTTCCCAGCCCCACTCACCACGAAGTATATCCTTCAAAATTTTAGGATTTTCGGAAACGTGAACGCCATTAATTTTGTTGTAAGCTGTCTGTTGAACAGTCAGTACTTACTCCAAGGAAAACCGAGAGTGGAATTGGCAGACTACTTACCATGAAGCACGCAGGTTGCGAATCTCTCACAACCAACTGAAAAGGCAGACAATAAATCTCCCTCAATGCCCTATCAGTAAGAATAGCATTCGTCCCATTCCTCTCATGCTCCTGATCATTACAAACAAAATGCTTGATGGTAGCCGCAATATCCCTATCCTGGATCCCATTAACCAACGCAGCAGCTCCAAGGCCCGCCAAAACCGGATCTTCACTCAAACTCTCAAATCCTCGACCCCCAAGTGGAGACCGCTGCATATTGATGGTAGGTCCAAGGATAATATGTGACCCTTTGGATTTGCTCTCATCTCCCATCAATCGACCAGCCTCTCGAAGGAGGTCAACATCCCATGTTGCACCCAACCCGGTACCGCAGGGGAAACAAGCTGCTTTGACACCGTTGAAGAATTTGGTTCCGCGAACACCGTTTGGTCCGTCAGATACTCGAATGACGGGAATTCCCAGACGTTTCACCGGGACTGTATGCCACCAATCGGCACCTATAACTTGTCAATGGGGGTGTATAATAGCATGGGAGACGTGAGGAGATTTACCTGCTAGCAGGGCGCATTTCTCGACATTGTTGAGCTTGGATAGAACGTCTTCCACATCTACGGTGCCAGTCATCGTGGCAGAAAATCAAAGTGCAAACTGAATCAAGGGAAGTGTTGCTTAATCCTATCCAACAAGTGTACAATACCGATTCAATGAGCAGGATTGTCTGTATATAACAAGTCACCCAAAAGACAAGAAACAAGCAAGGTAAAAACGTTGCAAGTAATTAGGGAGAAGGAAACACAGTAGATACAAGAGATCCCCACGATCCTCGGCTCCGATTTGCACATTGCATTGGAACTCAAGCAAGCTCGTCAAGCTACCCCTCCATACCCCACTACTCACATGCCCATAATAGCATCTCATACGTACACCAACGCCCAGAGTGTACTCGTATGCTGTCGACGTACCTGAATTCTTCCATTTGGCTAATTGTTGCATTGTGAGACGGGACGCGGGATGGGTGTGGATAAAAGGGGAGGCGAACGGCTATTCGTCGGCCAATATTCGGGCGTCTAGCTAGGATTTTGCAGTTGACTTGCATCCAAGTGGCGGCCTGTCGGCATATTTTTCCTGATAGAAAGTGGTACCTTGTGGTGTGAGAATTACGTGGAGTGGACAAGATGGGTTTTGGAAGTTGGTTTCGTTTCAGAAGAATCCGGAGCGGCGGAGAATCTACTGCCGAGTAGCCGGAAATGAGGGAAATCCACTTGACTGGCTTTCCAGCGACCGTTCTCACGAGTCTTCAAAGATTCCTCTTTGCGAGATTCAGGCCTGGAAAGATTCCTATCCAAGCATCAGCTTGACCAAAAAGGGATCTTCTACAATTATATTATGAAGAGCAAAGCCTCCCTCGGTCCTGAAAGAGCCGTATCGTACCGCATTCCTCCTCTCAAAGCTCCGTACTCGTACAAAAAAGAAAACGGAGCACGGAGTACGGAGTACAGATGACGTTGAAGCCTCTCACGGGATCTCTTCGGTAGAACCACATCGCGTCATTTCATCCATCTTCTTTACCCAGGAATGATTCTTGCAGGTGCCTGGCCAGATGTAAGTGGAGTTCTCCATCCCCATCGCGAAGAGATCGCATCTAAAACATTGATGGGGCAAAAACTTTGAAGCTCAAGTGGGTTAGGTTAGGAATAAGAAGTGAAGTTTGACCCGGAGTTTTTCCATTTTTTTATTTTGTACGAGTATTATAGCACGTTCGGCAATTGGAATTGGAATTCCTTTCTGTTCTAGACCCTCTGCTTAGTATACTTGAAATACTCAATACTAGGATATGGCCGGGACCGGAAACACTAAGGATCATAGAATTATAGTAAGATAGAAGTTAGTAGTACCTAAATATCTAATACTTACCTAGCTATACGCCCCCCTCCTCCCGTATTAGGTAAAACAAAACAAAAAACAAAAAACAAAAAACAAAAAGAAATAACGTGCATGTATAGCGAACCGGCCAAACAAGCGAACCGGCCAAAACTTTCTTCGCGATTGAAATTGTAAGAACTCTACCACAACGCCTCTAATTAAAAAACACTATTCAGAAATTTCTTCCTCAGATACTTCCTCTATAATATTACAGGTGCGCGTATTATGACCAGTCTCTCCGCAGTTGCCACAGCGCCGTGCACGTGATTCTTCCCTCGGCTTCCGACCACTACTTCTCTTTATTTCCTGCATTACCTGCTCACCAACGTCTCTATCATCCTGTAGGTCCTGCGCTTCCTGTTGACTAAGTGATCCTCCTTGCTGTAGGCGTGTTTTTTTAGCTCTACGGCGCTTACTTAGTACTTCATTTGCTTGTCGAAGTCTCTGGTTCTCAGCTTTCAATAGTACTATCTGGTGCATTACTTTTGATGCACCCTTCGTAAACTGGTCAATGGCCTCGTAAATAGGGGTTGGAGAGCTACTTTGGTGGCGTAAAATTCGATCTTTAATAAATGCAGTCTGTGATAAGGCTTCAGTAGGGTTATTTGGTGTCTGGGAAACCCAAGGCTGAGCGGAATACGGGGGGGAGTTTGGAGGCGTTGGCGTCTTTAGCTTAAGATCAAGTGTAGAAATTACACTTTCTGGGTCAAATGGAAGAAGCCCAGCCCCTCGGAACCCTCCTCGGATATTGCTTTCTGTCATTGCAATATTAAATGCGGCGTGGAAGGCAGGAAAGAAATCATCCTTAGTAATATGGATGATCGGAGCCCGCATCATATCTTCAATTTGCTGACCATATGCCCTTTTCAAAGGGCTAAAACAGCCAACGTCGAGTGGCTGGAGTATATGAGAAGAATGAGCAGGCATACAAAGAGTGATAATGTTGTTTTCCTTGCAATATTCCTCAAATTCGTCGGAGTGGTGGCTTTCATGGCCGTCGAGGACTAATAGACGATAACCACCAATAGATTGGGACTTTGTATGCTTCTCAAAATGTCGAATCCAATCCATGCCTTTCTCATTTGTTGTCCAACCATTTTCAGTAATAGCAATCACCCAGTTAGGTGGAAATCCACTGTTTTGGTACCAAGAAGCGAGGTGATTTTTTGCGGCAACAATCACAAACGGTGGAACACACCAGCCTTGGGCATTAACCCCCTGGATTACTGTAACCCATTCCCGACTACCAGGCTGTACTCTTTTTGTTTTTACATGTCCTTCTGAGCTTGTAATAACCATTGCAGTTGAGATAACGCCCATCATAAACCCAGTCTCGTCAAAGTTGTAGATATCTGCATCGTAGATTCCGTACTTCGCTATTGTGTTTCGTACAAGCTCAAACCAGCCACGAATGACTTCTGGATCTTCGCACTTAGCTCTCGGATAGTCGTATTTTCGTTGGAAGCGTGTCTGGAGTTCTGGGCGGCGCTTAACAAAGTTATAAGCCCAACGCGTCCCGACGCGTGGCGCGTCGCGTGCTTCAAGAAGTCGATTTGCTATATCTTCAACTACAGATATCCGCGGAGGAAATCCTTTGGTAGCTAGGTCGAGGATATGTTGAACAAGTACTGATTCCTCTAGCTCGGTCATTTTCCGTGAATTGGCTAAAATATCGCGTCGTGAAGGTATACCAAGCAAACGTCGACCTAGCTTCCGGTGGTCTACAGAATAGGTCCTGGCAGCAAGCTCGAGCACGTGAATTTGGGTCTTTTTGCATAGCTTGGATAGCTAAGACTAACCGGCTTTCGAAATTTTTCAGAGGCATCCTTCGTTGTAGAGAAATTTAATATTTCGTGGAGGTGTGGTGGGGTCGCCGGGTTTTGGCCGGTTCGCTTGTTTGGCCAGTTCGCTATACATGCACGTTATATAAAAGAATAATTAAATTTCCTAGTAGTAAAAGGAAGCAGCCAAAACTAAAACTACCATTATCTATAATATCAACATACTCGTATAAGAACGCACACCTCACACACCTCGCCTCACATCCAAATCAACAATCCATAAAATATTACTACAAAAAAGAGGAGAATAACAACTTAACAAGGGAAAACAAAAACCGAAAGTGCTATATCTAGGTACTCGCATATTCTACTCGTAGAAGGGAATATCATGTTACTCGTATTTGCATTTGCATTTATATATGTTTCTTTATTTTTTCATTCTTCAGAAACTACATACCTAAGTTGACTCCCATCCAGCTTACCTGGCAGCACCAGTACTCCATACCATACCATTCCCTACGTACCCGTATGTATTATATCATACCAAATCGTCAACCCCCCTCGCAAGATGGATATCAAAAAAAAGAAGCTAGAAAAGGAAAAGAAACAACTATTCCCAAAGCACCTACCAACCCAGAACCCCAATCCTTCTCAACTCCCACCCCACCCAACCTCCCTCATCAAACCCTCCCTAAATACTCAACTTCTCCAAGATCCTCAGAACCCCCTTCCCACTCCCCCCTCCTTTCCCACCCTGCTCATCAAGCCCCTGCACCAGTGCCCTCGCCCTCCCCATCAGCGTAGCAAGCACCTTCCGACAATACTCCAAACTACCCGTACTCTCCATATACGCAACCGCATACCTCTTCACTCTCTCATCCTCGGTTTTCTGCTTCAGTATATTGAGGAGTTGCATGTTCCCCGGTCTGGCCCGGATACTATGGATAATCGGGAAGGAGAACTTTCCCTCGGTGAGGTCCTCGCACATCCCTTTGTTGCCCGTGTATTCAGGCGATTGGATGTTTTGGTAGTCGTCGCGGATTTGGAAGATTATTCCCATGAGGTTGACTAGGGGCACGCAGTCTCTGAGATGGTGTGTTAGTGAGAATTGTATAGGGTGAGGGAGGGGAGGTGTACTTGTTGGTTTTGGATTCCGCTTGCATGAGTTTGACTGCCAATCTGAACAAACCGCCCGTTTTATTGCCTACCATCTCAAGGTAATCATCTTCCGTGGGACATGTCAAAGTATCTCTCCAAAACAAATCCATTCCCTGTCCCCGATGCAGATTTAAAAGCTCCTCTGTATAAATCTGCACTGCCTCGGAATTCTTTAGTTTTCCCAATTCTCCAAGCGCAAGGAAATACACATAATTCGCTGAATTAATCGTCTGCGCCGTCCCAAAAATACTATGGGCAACCGGTAGTCCCCGACGTAACAGCGACGAATCCTCCACATCGTCAACCAGTAACGAGGCAGTATGTAACATCCCCACCACATTATTTATCACCTCCAAACTTTCCGCAGGAATATCAAGATACTCATTAAAAGCCGCAATAAGCTGTGCCCTAATATCCTTCCCGGGCTGCGTGAACAGGTATTCATACGGCCCTAGCAAGATCTGCTCCTTGGGCTCTGACCAACTGCTCTTCCCGTAGAATGCCATGTCCCCTTTATTGAATTTATTCGGATCCGGCGGGGATCCTGGTTGAATAGCTGGGTTCACCGCGTTGGGATCGGCGTTGGATTGTTTGCGCTGACTGATCCAGTCACCCTCTTGCACCACCGGCCGTAGGGGACTTTTTGGAGACGACAAGCCGTTATGAGTATGGGAATTATGGGTAGAAGAGGTTCGGGGTGGGATGGCAGTAGGTGCTTGGAAGTGATCCATGATTTTGGAGGGGTTGCCTCGAGAGAGGTTGTTTTGGAACATCTTTATAGAGTACGATACCCCGGATTTCGGGCTCGGGTTGTAGGGCTAGCCTGAGAAAGGGTAGTCCTGGTAGGTAGGAGTGTGCGAAGTACCACCGCTGGTACCAACAAGGTTAGTGTTAATGTGATGAGATGTGTGCTGAGGGAGGTGAGGTGAGGCTGGTGGTGCCTGAAGAGGGAAGGAGGGATTGGGTTGTTGGGTTGTTGGGGAGTTGGTTTGTAGCAGGGAGTGCACCGAAGGGGATGATGAAGACTCGCACAGAACCGAAACAACGGGGGTGTAAATATTTTGGATTCGGGGAAGGATGACGATGGATCCAATTTATGCGGCTTCTCTACTCGGCAAATGCAGATGTGGTATGCTGTGGAAATATTGCTGATGGTGGTTCGATTGAATGTGTAGCTGGGACTGGGACTGGGACTGGGACTAGGACTTGTATGTAGCTTGTATGTAGCTTTGGTGGGACAACGCGGGGTCATGAGTCTGCGCAAGCACAAGTGGAGACGAGGCTGCAATGACAGCTTGAAGGTCAGCAAACCAAACTTTCTCAACATCAACACTTCCTATTTGCTTTCTCCGGAGAAGAAAGTATGAAAGTATGCAAGTCAGAGGCGGCGTCCTTCGGATCTTCGGTAATTGTTTCGAGGCAAGGGAGCCATTCCATAACATCGAATGCTCCTGTGAGCGAGACTTGTGTTCCTTTGCGCAGCTCTAGTCGTAGCTCAGCTCCAGTAGCTCCAGTAGCTCCGGAGAACCAGACGTCATTGTGCGATATCCGTATTCACATGCGAAAGTTTGTGATGGTATATTCCCATGATTGGATTGCCCATGCTGCTGCAGAGCTGTACGGAGGAACAGAGGAAGGTAAATTGTCTGCGACCATGATGATGTTCGAGTGACCAGTATGAAAGATAAGGAGACTGGATGAGGTGAGCAATGTATTGAGATCCCAAAGAGGAAAAGAGGACGGCGAGGGTTCTCATCCTTTGACGCACAGTTTCTGCCTCAAATCCAAGGTGTCGAACATTTCATCGGTAAATACTCGAGTAGGATAGAGTACGAAAGCTAGTATCGATTAAACTTGAAGGTTTCCATCCAGCTGAAACAAATACGATATTATTACCTTCGATTAATTGTCCAAGTTTAACCTTAAGTTCAACTTTCATCCAATCCGATCCAATCCACGGGGGAACATCTTCATGCATTCCCCGGCTTGCGATGGCCACTATCCCCAATCAGGGCGATAACTCGATAGCTACCCATCTCGCGAGCGGCCGTCGCTGGGTCAACGGGATTTGCAGCCCAAACGCCACAGCGAAGCTCTTCAACAGTACGAGTACACGGATCCAAGCTCAGTTCGTCGCAAACAAAAACAAGAATCCCTTTTCGCTTCAATTTTCTGTATTAATCATTTTTCCGCATCCGACGATTGTGGTAATTTCTATCCTTCCCTCGCGCACTCTCTCCCATTTCCAGAGTTTCTCAGGCGAAAGCATCGCCACACAGCGACTCTATCTACCTTTCCTGATATCGCATTTCGCGCGCAACCGAGAAACTCAAAACAAACGCTTTTAGAACCCACCGCATAAACCACCCAATCTCGTACGATGGAGACATTGATATGCATGGCCTTCGACAACCTCTCCTCCAACGACCAACTCAAGATCCGTAAAGGACTGCGCCAAATCGAAGGGCTCCTCGCGCAAATCTGCCTCTCCTCCCCGAGCGCGGATAAACGCCGATCGATCGTCGAATACGGAAAGGAACCGTCTCCTCCACGACCGTTGGACCAGTTAACCGATGACCCTGCGTTCCTGCAGTTTTTCAAACTTCAAAATGGATTTGAGTGTAATATTATATCGCGGTTGTTGAATTGTTTGGATCGGTTGTTGGGAAAGGCACAGGAGGGGACCTATGATTTGTTGATTATACAGACGTTGGATTTGTGTCAGGGGGTTATGTTACTGCATCCACCATCGAGAGCGTTGTTTGCTAGGGAGGCGTATATGGAGGTATGTTTCCCTCATCTGTTCATTCATCAAGAATCAAAAAATAAAAATTACAAACAACTAATCATTTCAAAACCACAGCAACTCCTCGACCTCCTCGAACCAGTCAACTGCCCCGCCATCCAATCAACCACCATCATAACCCTAGTCTGCGCTCTAATCGACACCCCCAAAAACACACGTACATTCGAGAAGCTCGAGGGACTCCTCGTCGTAACATCCATCTTCAAATCTCGCGAAACAACGCGGGAAGTCAAGCTCAAGCTCGTCGAGTTTCTATACTTCTACCTGATGCCCGAAACGCCCTCCATCCCAACTGCTAACTCGACCGTCTCGGTACCCCAGATGCTACAGCGCAGTCCGTCAAAATTGGCGGGTGCCTTTAATAGGGTTGATACGAATCGGAAGAGGAGTGATAGTGGATCTGATATCACGAAGACGACGGAGGAGAAACAATTCCTGTTGGGTCGGTTCTTGAATAGTGTTGATGAGTTGGTCGCGGATTTGAGGGAGAGTACTCCGTTTGGTGGGGCAGTTTGTTAGCCATTTCCGCTTCTGTCTTTCGTTTCCGTCTTCTTTTCATTTTGTCTGGTGTTGGGAGTCAGACTTGAGACTGGCATCTCCTTTTTATATTGATTGGCATTTCCCCCTTCAATGTTCGGCGTTTTTGGATGGATGGATGAATGGATGTATGGAGGGCGTTGGGTACCAGCACAACGCACAGTACGTGTTTGGAAGATTTCCTTCTCCATCTTTGTCTTGTTCCGCGTCCCTTTTTATCTCGGGAGATGAGAAGGCGTCGGATCGGATTCTTTTCTTTGTAATAATTTCTATAGTAATCTCTCCTTTATAGGAGTCAGGATGAGTCTTCAGACACTGTATCTCCTTGCTCTTTCAAGAAAAATAATCAAATATTTCTTAATAAACCATTCTCTGTTTTGATATTTTGATCCTCTCAAGGTAATTCAACCCGTTCCTCCATCGTTTGTTGTTCCTCATTCTGCAGTCTTATCGCAGCTGTATTCGCATTCATATTCGCATTCCCATTCACAAAATTACCTGTACCAATAACCGTTGAGAAGGACTCGAATCCATCTCCACCGCCCCCCATTCCGCGTCCGGGACTTGTCCCCGTCTCACCGGTATCCTTATAACCATCCGTAAAGAGTCTTGGTCTTGCGACAGGCCCAGAGTAATTGAATGGTTGACTTATCTGTCTGTGCGGTGCTGGGGATCTATAGTTGTTGCTATTACTGTTACTGTGTGGCATTGCTTTTGAACTGGTTTTGAGGGTTGAATTGGTGCCGTTGGGGATCTTTGAGGGTGGGTAGGTATTGGAAGGTACTCTCTCTTTATTTGCGAGGTCTCGCTCGCTAAGGCCCTTACTTCTATGGCGTAAACAAAAATACAAACCCTCTCCCACGACTACCAAAACACCTACAGCGACACCGACACATATCCCAGCTTTCGCACCGGATGAGAGGCCTCTTGAGGGTGCTTGACCTGGGACGATGGTAGCGAGGATCCCTCATGCACCTGTACGCGTGACCACGCTGGTACCAGTGGTATAAACGCTTGATTGATAGGAACGAAAGAGCAATACATAAATGACGGACAAACGCAATCCTCAGATTCCCTCGAAGGAGAATGGAGATGGAATTGAGAATGAAAAGTCTTGTACAATAACCACCAAAGAATTGACAATAGTCAGGAGATCAGCTTACCTACATATCCATACCCCATACAACCTCGATACCCTACCCCACCGCCACCAGGTCGACCACTAGTCAACAAAAAGCCCTTCTTCCTACTACATAATTGACAGAAATTCCATTAGCGAAAGCGTGGTGTACAGTCAGCAGAATTGGGCATTTCCTATTCACGAGCCGCGATGGTATTCTCGGAGGATTTTTCCTGCTTGGGGGGCTAGAGCTCTTGATGGACGTGAGATCTTCCTTTTTTATGTGGGTAGGGGTGGGTGTGGTGATTGGGTGTGTCTTTGGCGATGGAGGGGTGGTAGGGTAGGGGGTGTTTATCGATTGATCGTCGGGCGGGAGATCTTGGGAGGGATGGAGGAAGGGAATTGTATGGCATTTTGAATTCGAAATGGAATTGATTTGAATACGATACTGTCATCGGACAAGGGAAGAAAGATGAAGGCTGGGTAGGATAATCCTTGCGGGTATCGTTGGGTGTAGGATATTTTTGGAAATACGAGTATTGTGGTATGTACTGTACTTGAGTACAGTAACTCGGTTACCCGCATTCGATCTACAGCACGTGAACATAGACCTCATCAAGATCCGTTAGAGTGAAAGAAAAAAGACATAAAGCATTTTTTTTAGAAATCTGACAGGATAGATTGTCTGTACGACATCATTTAACGGTCGGTACTCTATAATCAAAGACTTGGAGTTGCTTATATACAATTTACACACCATGTATGACAACGACTTTCGAGGCGGTGAAAAACGAGGCTATCTACTGTTAGCACGATGAGAAACTTGAAGCTGATTTATGTACTCAATTGCATCAGTTCAATCCCAGGCCAGCCAGAATATCCACTATATCATCTGCCCTCTTACCTTACAGTATCCACAAACCCATCAACTTCATTTCGGAAAAGACTCCGACCCCCTCTTCACAAACCTAACCTTAATCTTGCAATTAAGCCTCATAGCCAACGCCGTCGTCCTATTATCCATCATCTTCATCGTCTTCTTTTTTGCCTCCTCCCATTTCTCCCCCCCTTCTTGAACCAACTCAACCGTGCACTCCTTCAACAACACCGCAATCAAAGTACAAAACTCGACCTGTGCGAATTTCCTGCCGAGACAGCCTCGGAATCCACTAGCGAAAGCTATGAATGCGCCTTTAGGTGGGCACAAGAGGTTTGCATGGGCGGGTGACTCGTTGTTGGCTTCTGGTAGTGCGACGTAGGATGGTGGCATGAGCCAGCGGGAGGGTGTGAATTGGTGTGGGTTGGGATTCCAGTACTTGGGATTTCGTTGGGTGCTTACTATGTCGAGGCTTACTCGGCTGTCGGCTGGGATTTCGATGGTGATGTCGTTGTATGTTAGAGTTGTGTGCTCGACTGTGAATTTGGGGAGCATGACTACTGGTGGGTAGAGACGTAGCGTTTCCAACTGAAGTTGGTGTTAGTATAATTCCACCTGTCAGGGATTTTTGTTTTGGATGGCAATGGAAATGGGGTGGCGATACTTACCATAACAGCCATAATAACCCTCATCTTCCCATAATCCCCATAAACCAACTCCTCGCATTCCTTCTTCTCCCTCCAAATCCCATCAATCTCCTCCTGCACCATTCTCTGCACCTCCGGAAAGCAAGCCAACAAAATTATCGCACTCTGCAACGTCGTCCCGGAAGTTTCATGACCAGCAAGCACAAAAACAAAGATATTCCCAATCATCTCTTCTTCACTCAACGTTTCGCCTTTACTTCCTGTGCTACCACGGACAATACTTCCTAGTAAATCTCCGGTGCCTGATACATTAGAATCGAAGCCGGATTCCAGCTTGGATTTGTGCTCGTGGATGAGTTCGTGCATGTAGGTTTTGAAGTCTTCAGATGCTTGTTGCATTGAGCGCATGAGTTTTAGCGGGCTGTTACGGAGGATTATTGGCGGGAAGACAACTAGGGTACGGACGTTGTTCCTGAGGCCAAGGATTAGTTCTTAACATGCTTGAAGTTGATAAGCTCAGCCGACATGCTCAAAGTTGAAAAATTCAAAAGATAATCAACGAACATTGCGTATTACAGTTTCGATTCCAAAAACGTGACCAACATAGGAGAATTTGGGTGAGTACAGATGTGAAGAAGATAGATACACTTACATGACAGAATCAAAACTCCTTTGAAAGGGAAGACCATGCGACTCGGATTTCGTTTCTCTGCTATACTCAACTTCTTCTTGAGCAGATATATCGGCCACAGAGTGAGTCGGCCAAAGCGCCTTGATATTCAAAGCAGAACCAGAAATGACGTTCAAAGTCGCAATCATGGTCCAACGAACCAAATCCTCTACGACCGGTTCTTGACCAGGCTTGGATTTCTTGCCATCAGCATCTTGAGTGAAAGATGCCAACATCCCTTTACTCTGCCTGAGCGTCTGCTCAAATACAAGACTAGCGCATGTCAGTTACATCTCATATACCTCATTAGATTAGAGAAAACAGAGAGGTTAACTGAGGGTGCGAGAGGAAACTACAAACCTGCTATTCTTCTCATTAAAAGGCGGTCCTGTGATCTTTCTATGTCTCTGCCAAATAATACCCTCACTACTAACAACATTCAACCCATAAATATTCAACGCCGCATAATCCGCGACCTTCTTCACAAAATCATTGCGTCGCGTCACAACTTGCACATTGACCCCCGCATCACTAATCCACAATTGACCGCCTCCCGGTCCTACAGCCCACCACACATCACCCAGCATTTCCTTGGGCCAGGCTTCCTCTTTCCATTTCCATGAGTTGTCGCGCACGACATAGCGAAACCACTGCCCTAGGTTGAAAGGGAGAGCACGGAATATGGGGTAGAGGAGGGGAGAGAAAAGCCAGGTGGACATTGAGTCGCGGGGGGTGTAGATTTTTGCGCTAGGGATCGGGGAGATGGCTCCGAATTGGTGCCATTGTTTGGTATCGAGGAAGTAGTTGAAGAGTTTCCGGGTGAGGAATAAGAGGAGGAGGGTCCAGGCTAGGAGTGCGGAATATTGCATCTTAAAGTGGTCGCTTCATCAAGCCCAAAAATGGAATAGAGGCAAATGAATGAGGAAGCTCTCTCTCGCTATATCCAGATGAGTCAATGTTGGTTATGAATCTGACTACGGAATGAAGTAGAGGCGATGCAATGTATTTGTCTTCCGCAAGAGAATACGTGAATACAGCGGACGACCTCGGGTAACATTGCACACGACTGAGACACTCGCCTCACGGGGTCCCAATACACTGACGCCCCGGCGTCAGTTTAGAGCTGACTAAGCGCGGGTTTTCACGCCCCCCCACCATCCACGAACACTCTACTTATAAGTTACCTATAATTAATACATGCTTAACAAAATAACATATAATAAATCCTACAATATATATCGCTCCGAGTCTCGCGCATACTCCTCCTCAAGTCTAGCCCATATATCCCTACTCCTATTCTCAGTATTCCTATTCCTATTCCTAATAAACTCTGATTCAAGCATATTATACTCATCTTGCTCCTTCTTTTCCTCGTTATCTAGCCATGCTATAATCTCCTCATTTGTCCAGTCAGCTTTATTTGTAATAATAGTACCTGTAAGATCACGCCGCTCCCTAGGCATATAAAATACCTGCTCTTTTAAAATTTTCGGCCTTAGTGTTTTCCATTTTCGGGCCTTACGATATTCTGCTGGCCGTATAGTAGGATGCTGGGCTAGCCAGGCTGTTTTTTCAGCTAGGTAGGCCAGAATTAAGACTTCTGGCCGATCTGGTGAAAGCTGCTTAGGTACAGTTGGTGCTAGAGATGCTAAAGGTGCTGATGCTAGAGGTGCTGAAGGTGCTGTAGGTGATGTGGATAATGTGGGTGATGTGGGCACTGTATCTAATTCAAGGAGAATCTGGCTTTGAGCAGCAATTGATGCTTGTAGTTTCAACGGGCAGCTACGGCTACTCATTGTGTGGCCTTGCCTGTGGCATGCAGAGCATTTAGGTAATTGCTTTGCTTTTTTCTCCCCTTTTGAGAGAATGCGGCCTGTGTGAGCAACCTCTGCGTTTGCTATACGCTGTCTACCAGCCCATAGAGGGTTAAGTAGTGGCTGTATAGTGCTTTTACGGTCCCAGTACCAGTGCTCATGAAAGTCTGATGGAGTAAGCCCAGTAGTGTCCTTCTTTATCTCGCATATATGTGCACAAGGCAAGCCCATTGCCCGGGTAAAAGCACCAGTACAGGGCAGTAGTGGCCGAGAAACAGTCTCTTGATGTCGTTGTACAAGTCGTAGTGCATACCAAGTGACTACCCCAAAACAGCCTTGATATAGCTTCTTGTCTATATCAAGTGGTGCGCGGTCCTGTAACATACTTATACGAGTTGATACAGCTGTAATTTGGTTGATTACAGCTGCTTCAATAAGTAGCCATGATGAATAGAGGTCCCCCTTGGTTTTTTTGCCCCCTAGGTAGCGCTTAATATATGCATGAGCTCCTTCAGCACGGGAGGTTACTCGTATACCGAAGTGTAAGTATTGATTTGTCCAAGCCTCAACTAAACGCTCCTTTTGACCAGGTTTTAGCCACTCGTTTTGTAGGTATGCCACACACTGTTGAGTCTTAGGGTTTGAGTATTGAGTCTGAAACTCAAGCCAGCGCTTATCAAATTGCTCAATTGTCTGTGCTTGAATAACTATACGCCAGGCAGCCTCAAAAGCCTTCCAATCCTCTTCCCCGACTACATTCTTACATTTAGCAAGTACACATTGGTTTACATGCCAAATACAGAGTAGTGTAGGGGCGTGCGGAAACACCTCTTCTGACGCATTCTTTTGAGCCTGGTCACCGTCTATAACTATAGCTCCAGGGTTAATTCCAAGCTCTTGAAAACATTGGAATCCCCATATAAAGTCTTGCTGTGTTTCACCGGGAAGGAAGCAAAATCCAATTGAGAACGTTAATCCAGAGCTTGTAACACCTATGAATACTTAGTATTATAAGCGTACAAATAAGTCAAAAGCGGTACTTACCAATCATATGTAAGAGTGGCATCTGAAATTTATTTGTCTTATATGTATTATCAACTAATACAACATCTTGATTAGTCTGTGCAAGCTGAATTGACTGTGGATATGCAATGAAGAGGTGTTGTGTCCGGTTCTCTGACGTGACATTGATTTTGAAGTGTATTTTGTTATCTGTAAGGTGCTGAATAAGGGCGTCGTTTGGAGAGAGTCCATGTCTTTGCTCTCTTTTAAAAGAGGCATTCAGGTTATATATGTCGTACGGTTGAAGTGGGGTAGTAGTTATCTGGCGAAGGTATGTAATTGCTTGGCTTGGCTTAATCCCTAAATATATATTAGACTTAAATTATTTCAAGTTACTTTCTATCTTACCTGCATTGTGTAAAGATCTAGCCTGATTTATCTCTGCTTGTGCTAGCTTCCGGTGTGCTGGATGAGAGCTAACTGATTGACTTGGAAGGTGGTTATGTAGACTATACTCTACGCCAGGCCTATAGCGTAACTCCCATTGAGAATTTATACATTCAAGCGCTACTATTGAGAACTGGCAGCCAGTTTTTCGAGTAGTTGTCTGTCGCTTACGTGCTTGTAAATGCTGTTGCGGATGTTTTTCGGATGGTGGTAGGCCGTAACGGTCGCAATTATACGTGATCTTCGTCCTAGGACCGCCATGGATCTTTGTTGACCGTCCAATACGAAAAGCATAGCAATGATGTGCTGCCCAGGCTTGAATTGAAGTATATAGCTCTTCTTTAGAGCTATATATAGCCTCTGGAGGCAGTGGCATAGACGTATGAGGGGTGGCATCTGCTGACGCTGGCTCAAGTGGTTGCTCAGGTGAATGTAAGGGCAGTGGCGACAGCGAGAGTTGAACGTCCATTTTCGCTATGTAGCTATGTCAGGCGTGCATTGATTACAGTCCAAAGTACAGTGCTGGTAGATGTAAATGCGACGCGCGCGCATTTCGGTGGTGGGGGGGCGTGAAAACCCGCGCTTAGTCAGCTCTAAACTGACGCCGGGGCGTCAGTGTATTGGGACCCCGCCTCACGGAGTACCAATAAGCGGACTCACCAATGACATTTGGATCTAACCGCCTTTTGTATACGGCGCCGAGGGTGCTGATAACGATGGAAGGGAAACCCCGATAAGTCAACCCTCAAAAAGTTAATTTGGCTTGGGCCGCCTTCAGGGGATATCCACATTCCGGCCCGTCCTCAAAAGGGTGACGTAATCGAAGCTAAGCGAGACGGAATTCTGGAGATGTCCCCTATGTAAATTGAGACCTATCGCCGGCTTATATAAAACCATGTACTCATTAAACGCCGCACTATGAAATAAGCTTTTTTTAACAAAACTGACAATAAGCGACTACTTAAAGAGTTTATTTCACGGAAGAATATTGAAACTGAAGATATTAACTACGTTCTTTGAGTAGGCACTGATAGTATCGCCAGTAGTCAGTACTGAACAGGAATCACTTGCTATTCACTACTGCCCCTGCCCATCTGAACAATCCTCTTAATATCTGGACACAAAGTTGACTAATTGCAAAGTCTAGTAGATCAGTATTATAGCGAAATTTTATGCTTAATGATCAAAGCAAAGTGTTTCTTTTCAAGCTATGTAACTACTATACAAAACTCAAATTAAATTAATAAAAGATGTGAGAGCTGCAACTCGCAACCTCAATCCCTTCTTGATCAGGTGGTGAATACAACAAATGCTTCTAAGCGAGTGAAGAGGGTACGAGATGCAAGAATTGGATTGGGAGTCTCCGTTATCCGCATAACAAAATTCACTAACCAAGTGTATGTTTACATCCCCACTGAACAAAACCCAGGACACCGAATCCAAACACCAACCCTAGGACTCTCACTAAGCCCCAAATAACTCTTCCTCACACCCCCAAGATCAACAACAATCTTCTGGAAAACCACTCCCGGTCCCCCAGCCCACAGATTCAAAACATGTTTCCCCCCTGTGACAACATGTTTAGTAGCAAACTGACAACCAGCATTCTTCGTGCTTTCCATCCAGGTACTCGGTAAAGTCCCCAATTATGTGATCGGTACATACTGCGCTTTCGTCGGTGCCTCGTCGTCGATGGAAATGTAATATGTGAGAGGACGGTCGGGAGCAAAGTTGAGAGACGGTGCGAGATGGAGGGTTATGGAGGCGGTTGTTGCGATGAATGTATAGATTTTTTAGCTTAGTTTTGGGGATGCAGGGGGTGTTTGGCTGTCAGCTGTTATGGGCAAGAGTGTTACTCCTGAGAGGGTGCGGCCATAGCCAGGGATGATTCCGTAGGAAGCTGTGGATGAGGAGGTTGCGGTGGTGTAATGCTCAGGCTCGATGCTGATTGTTTTGTTGCTTTCCACAAAGCCGGTATATGCTTCTGAGATTTGGGAGTTGTCGATTGGGAGGGTGATAGTTGCGGTAGTTGAGCCGGCAGTGATCTTGACTTTGGATGATGTTTTTCCTATTGGTGCGGTTTCCCAGTTGATGGAGAGCAGAACGCGTTGATCTGCGGTATCACCTGGTGCTTTGATTGTTCCATTCAATGGAGTAGCGTTTACCCAGATGTCACTTTCTACCTTGTAGGATGATGAGCTGTTGCTAGTCGAATAAATTTCGATCCATCGAGATTTTGGGCCGTAGCGATTTAGCGATGGAAGTTCCAAGTTCGTATTGCCTCCTTCGATTGCCACACCCGGTGGTTTATTTATACTTGCAGCAGGCCATTTGAGTGCTGGCATACTGTTTGAAGCGGGTTATTGCCAATTCGTGTATCCGATATGCGTTTGATCCATCATGTGGTTCCACTTGCCGTTGAGCAAATTATGATAAGTGCTAGCCAAAGCCGAATCTGCAGCATAAGCACTGACGGCGATTGATCCTTGAGTTTCTGCAGTTACTCTCCCTTGCCCAGCCCATAGATTATTCTTGGCTGTCGCGATGTAAAGTTGATGGAGAATGTACCCTGCCTTAACGGGATGCAGAACCATTTCGAAGAAAGAAGGTTGAGCAGCGATACTCAATTTGTCATAAATAGCTTGAGCGTCAGAAGCTAGAACCTTCCATTGATTAAGAATTATATCCCCCTCATCATAGTTCACGATACTGTAGATGGATGCATCCAAGAGTTCGTATTTGCGTCGGTTGGCATACTGACCATATCGATCAACAACCGAAGCCGTCGCTTCTGAGACTGTTGCTCCCCATTCTCGTGTAGCCCACTTCGACAACCAGATTTGACTACTTTTGGGTTCAGTATATTGTGTCATATCGTAAGCCATGTCTAAGAAATGACCGATGGGAATTTGGTGAAAAGTTAGCATTGCATTTAGCCCAATTGTGCTTGGCAGACCTACCAATGGCTTAAGATCACCAACATTGACAATCCATATCTGCCTAGCATTGTACTCATATGTCAAATGTATCTGCTCCCAAGTTTTTTCCAAGGAAATCGTGTTAATCCATTTGTAATTTCGTGGGTCTCCCACATAATCAAAATGATAATAGACTCCGGCACCAGCTTGGCGACTCACCTCACTGGCTATCGGCAACCGTTGCATATTACCATTATTATCATCAGACCAAAGAAGAGTGATATCATCTGGTACCTTCAAGTCAGCCTGATAATATCCTCCAACTTCTTTGTACAAACACCACATCTGAGGAACTTGAGATAAGTTTACGTTGACGTTGCTGGAAAGTATCGATTGCTGAGACTTGATGACATCAGCCAGTGAACTAGAACTCAATGTCGGCGAAGCCTCGTCCCCAATTCCTCTCATTCCCATGGTATAGACGACTTCGTAAGGCTTCGCTCGCTTAGCACCATCCGTCAAGAACTTGATGACATTATTTTTGTTGCTTGCCCAGTCCCATTTCCCACTCATATACCTGCTCTGCTCTTTCGTTGCACGCGTAAGAGGTTCAGTATGACTAGTCCCCATAACGATACCATACTCATCCGCCAGCTGTGGATTTTTCGCATCATCCAGGTTGAACATGCTATCCCACATTGTTGGCCGGAGATAATTTGCTCTCAATCGAAGAAGTAGCTCAAACACGTTAACATAGAACTTCGAATTGTAACCACCGTATTTCTGGTTGACCCAATTGGTGAGAGCAGTTTGTTCGTCGTTGAGGAAGATCCCACGATACTTGACACTAGGCGGACCCTGGGTTTTGACCGTGTCGAGAGCGTAGATATTCGCTTGCGGAGAAGTGGCAACGTCTGCAAACCAATACCAAGGGGAGATTCCGATCTGCTCGGAAATGTCGTATATCCCATAGATGCTGCCTCTTTTATCACTCCCCGCCATAACGAGCGCTGATGCCAGTCCTGCCAGATCTGCCCCGGCTCGTTGAACGCCCTTGAAATCTCCAGTTGACAAAATGAGGTTTGCAGTAGATGTCCCTCCGGCCAACTGTAGGGTACCACCCGTGAATGAAATAATTGGAGTCTGGCCTAGCGCGAGAGCGTAGGCAATGTAACAAAACGTAACTGATAAAAAGGAGAGAACCGCCATGATCCGTGCAGTGAAGGTTGGGAAACTATCTATTTACTCAGTAGATTTCAGATATATATAGTAACAGCGAAGATCACGGGAGTCTGTCACGCTATTTATACAGATGAAAATGGATGATCCTTCTACGTGGGGTCTTTTTTTTTTTNTTTGAAGTACCTCGTATTTACCGTGGCGGCTCATATATATATTGCAATTTAATGAAGGCCAAGTAGCCATCGCTGGGTAAAATATGTGGGGTCAATACACAATTGCCGAGAATTAGAGAAGGCCAAAAGAAGAAAATTTTGACTGTGTGACTATACAAACAAATTGGCAGGCCCTTTCTTATGTACCCAGCAGTGCACTATATATTTCGCAAACGGCTACAAGATACAAAGCAGTTCCAAAAGTTTGCTTCAAGCTACTTTCATTGCCTGTTGTTTCCCAGTATCAACCTATATCTCATTCCTTGATTGGTTCCAATCATCTTGTTGCTCAAAGTCACCCGTCTTTCTCGGAGCTACGGAACAATTCAGATTGTCACACCTTGAAGTACAGGTTGGGGAGTAAATAAACTTGCTGGCGAAACTATCACATTATAAAATACATTTTTTCTCATTACGTCATGGCCTCTCATCTACACTACAACTATCCTACTCCTCTACTCACAAAAACAAAGAGCAAAAAGGTATCCATAACTCCCCGATTCATGACAAAATCCCGTTACTCATCTATGCCATCACAGCAGTAGCCGCCCTCCCACCTCTAGCAGCACCACCCTTCTTGCCCGCACCAGGTCTAGCCAACGTGTACTTGGCAAACGCACGAGCAAGTGCCTTCTTACAACTGACTTTCTGACTTCCGACAAAGGAGTCGATTGTGACAGCGATGGCTCGGTCGACATCTTGGGCGGATACATAGTCTGATAAGCGCATGCGGCAGAAGGCTTCGCTGATTCTCATGATGGCTTCGAGGTGACGGACCTAGGGATTTTGTTAGACAGACTGAAGTTTAAGTGTACTACGGAGGACTTACTGTGATTGGATAGGCACCGGTGGCTAAAGACTCTCTTCTCATATCACCGAAAAGCTTGGAGATCTTCTCTTCATCGATGTTGTAAAGCTTAGGACTGCATCTCTCACGCGCGTAGAGGATATACTTTCGGAGTAACTCTTGTGGAATTTCTCCTTCTTGTTTTGGCTCTCCGCCGTTGACAGCTCCAGCGCGAACATCGGCATCGTGCTCCATTTCCATCGAGTTTTGGTTCTCATCGGTAGCTTGGGTGACTGGGTGGGACCGACCGTGAGAGCCGACAACGAATCTTGCGAGTCTCTCATCTTCAACTGGATCAACGGTATCTCTAACAACGCAAAGTATATCGAAACGTGAGAGAATTGGCTCTGTCAATTCGACATTTTGCGAGAATGGAATAGTCGAGTTGTAACGTCCACCGATAGGATTGGCTGCTGCAATGATACCGCATCGAGCTTGAAGTGTGGTAACGATACCAGCCTTGGAGATAGAAATGGTTTGTTGCTCCATAGCTTCGTGGATGGAGGTTCTGTCTTGATCGTTCATCTTGTCAAACTCATCAATGAGACATGTACCTCGATCGGCAAGCACCAACGCACCACCCTCCAAAGTCCATTCGCTGGTCAACGGATCCTTACGAACACTTGCAGTCAAACCAACAGCACTTGCTCCCTGACCAGTCGCAAAAACGGCTCGATGCGCGGTCTTTTCAACATATTTGAGAACTTGTGATTTCGCTGTTCCTGGATCACCTAGGAGGAGAACATTGATATCACCACGAATGTGGAGTTTACCCATTCTTTCCTTGGCGACACCACCGAAAAGCGAAAGAGCGACAGCGGTCTTAATATCGGTATGGCCATAAATACTTGGAGCCATGGAGTGGATGATCTTGTCGACAATCTGAGGGTCACGAGACAAGGTACGGATTTGATGCTCATCCTCCTCAGTGAGTCTGAAACCAGCAAGCTGATCGTGGGATTTGACAACGTTGTTGGCTTCAAGAATTGTGGCAAAAACCGGGAATCCGTTCTTGTTGTTCAATTGCGCATCGTAATTGTTGCGGTAAACTCCAGTAACTTCGATTTCCTCTCCAGGTTTGGCTCTATCAATAAGATCCCACAAAAGGATGACTTCTCGGTGGCGTGGGAGACGACCTGCGGGGACTGTGCCAGGTGACTCTTGAAGAGTAAGCTTTTGGTAGTTTCTGTAAACAGTCTTTTCCGAGTTGAGATTGAATGGCCCACGGGATTGGCAATTCTGGCAATAAGTGATTTTGACTTCGACATTGGACTCCTGCTGGAAAGGACCAAGTCTTTGGTGACATTTGAAACAGTCGAACATGACATATTTCAATTGAGGGAAAACTCCACTTCGACGAGTTACAACTCCACTAACACGAACCAAACAATTCAAATGAGTTTGTCGCAATTGACGGAGGGTGTAGTGAACTGGAAGATCGGTAATTCGTACATGAACCTCGGAATGAATTCGCTCATAATCGGCATAATAAATCAAGGTGACTTCTATGGCTACTTCGTCAAATAGTTTGAGCATCTCTCCTGGCGCATTGGCAAGGAAGTATGCCAAAATAGCTTTCGAGGATGAAAGATGGTCGTACGAGACCTCCAAAGACTCAGCATTGATTTCTCCCAATGTTCTGATTCGGGTTCCGTAGACGGAATCTCCATGTTCATCGGTATATTCGGTCAAGAATGCCTTGAATTCTCGTTTGATCGTTCTTTGAACTGCATGTTGGCCAACCCATTCTACTAGACTAGAAGCCTTCACATCTTGTAAAGTCTCAAGGGACAATTCTTCCTCCATGATATCGTCTTGCATATCATCGTCCTGGTCCTCGTCATAGTGATGTCGACGACGTCTTGGCTGAGCTGTAAGATCCAAATCTCCATCGTCCTCATCTTGAAGAAAGGCTGCTGGCATGCGGTTTTGGCGGGCAAGTTCTCGGTCTCTGCGATTGAGGCGGGCTTCCAGTTTTCGTCGTTCTGCGACATCCAAGTCGTCGTATTCGCCCTCGTCGTCAATGTCTCTTGCATCGTACATATCATCTTCTCGAGATCTGTAATCTTTCTCAAAATTGCCTCCAAACAGATCAATTCCGTCCTCGTCCTCGGCCATCTCCTCTGCATCGTCAATATCAAGAGCAAGCTCCTCCTCTACATCATCATTATCGTCACCGCCGTGTTGGATATCATAACCTGGCGGGGAAGAGCCATAATCCCCTGCCGGAGTGGAAGCAGGGACTTCAGCAGGCGCATCATCTTGTTCTCTTGAACGCTTGAGAGCGTTTCTTGCGGGGCCACGGTTCGCCGACGACATGCTGGGTCGCAGGGGGGAACTGTGTTAGAGTGAGCATGAATTGTCCGAATGATCTTCGTTCTCGGGAGATATATTCAATCATACCTCATGATGAAATTTGTGTGCTTGGTCGTTTGTGGGGAGTGAATAGGAGTTGTGTGGAGCTGATCAGCTTCTGGTCATGAAACTTCGCAATGAGGGTCGAAAGCGCGTAAATTCACGGGTTCGTGTCGAGCTAAACCTAATAAGGACGACGTGTAAAGTGGTTTCCGTAGCCTATGGAAACCAGACCAGGGATACAGGTCACTTTGCTCGGGAATCGCTCCTCGGAGAGGGTGTATTTTGAGGTCGGGGTGAATTGGCGGCAAATCCCGGGCATCGGGGTCATCGGGGGTCTGCCGGGCTCTGTCGGGGTCTACTTGGAGGCTATTCCGAAGTAGATCTTTCTCCACATCTCCCGTTGCCGCAGCCTCAAGGCTGAGATTCAAGCTCCAAAGCTGTCGCATCATCACTGCTTCCCCTCCTTCGCAATCAAAACACATCGACACATTGCGCGCCCATCCAAACATCATGGATCCTCCTCCCGCAGATGCAACCACTTCCACAAACCAAGAAAGTCACGATGGCGGCCCATCCAGAAGTCAGAGCTCCTCTCAGCAATCCGATGGTTCCCAGACAGTCGCAGAGTATGTTTCTTCCGTCGCGTTTACTTTGCGCTTCCTGAAATTGTAATTCCATTTGTACAACACAACAGTGTGCTGATGGGTTTATAGATTCATTGACAGCCAAATCCAATTAGAGGCTGATGCGCGCAAAGCTCTTCCATATGTAAGACATTCACCTCCAGAGTTCCTTATGCTACCTTGCTAATCGCGTTCTCAGAAATTCGACAACTGCACCCAACCATTAGGTAAACTCCGTCAAGTCCTCTTCTCCTGTTTGACCTGCAACCCTCCGCCAACCGATCCTTCCACTCCATACAAGCCAGCTGGTGTATGTTATTCATGCTCAATACAATGCCATGGCGACCATACATTGGTGGAACTATTCAATAAGAGAGATTTTGTTTGCGATTGTGGAACCACGCGTTTGCCGTTGACTTCGCCATGTACATTGCGTGTGAACCCAGAGACCAACACAAAGGGAGGGGTTCATTCTCAAGCGCCTGATCCGAACAATAAATACAACCAGAACTTTCAAAACAAATTCTGCGGATGCGAATGCGACTACGACGCGGACTCTCAGAAGGGCACAATGTTTCAATGCTTGGGATTGGGTACGGCCGAGGAAGGAGGGTGTGGAGAAGACTGGTGGCACCCTGGATGCATTGTTGGTGTTGGGCCCGATTGGTACGAGGTGTCAGGTCGCAGTGCTACTGCTCTTAAGAAACCAAAGGCTGATGGAGGTTTGGAGTCAATTGCTGAGGTGGCAGAAGCAGTTGTTGAGGATCAAGTTATCGAAGTAGCTCAGAATGGGGCTGCAGGAACCTCAGCGACTGCACCAGATGAGGATGCCGACGATGACGACCAGCCACTACCTCCCGGATTCCCAGAAGAAGACGATTTCGAAGGTTTTATTTGTTACAAATGCGTCGAGGCATACCCTTGGATCAAACGATATACCGGAGCACCCGGCTTCCTAGCACCTGTTTTCAAGAGAAGCACAGCACCTTCGCCTGAACGAGGCTTACTTGCCAAAACCGAGGAAGCCATTGCGTCGAACACCCTTACTACGAAGAAACGAAAGGCCGATGACGACGAGGAATCAGTTGCTTCATCAGCATCAAAAAGAGTGAAGGAATTGACCCCAGATGTCGCTTCCGCCGCCAACGAAGCCGCTGCATTGGCAAATAACTCGATTTCTGTCGCTGAGCCTGTAGTTTCCACGATGGACGAAGTGGTGTGCAAAGTCAAAGCACTCTCCGCGCCAAACGGTCAAGTCTCACTCTTCTTCAAATCTGATTTCCGAGATCATCTCTGCCACTGCACAGACTGCTTCCCCGAACTGAAGAAACACACCCAACTACTTGAAGAGGAGGAGATCTACGAACCAGAGATGTCAGAAGACGAAGCCGATGGTGGCGGCAGCACTGTCGGAAGCGGAAGTATCTACGAACGTGGTGAAAGCGCACTTAAGAACGTGGATCGTGTCCGGGCCATTGAAGGTGTCATGGCTTACAACCATTTGAAAGACAAACTTACACCTTTCTTCCAACAGTTCGCGGAAAGTGGGAAGGCTATTAGTGCTGAGGATATCAAGGCCCATTTCGCAAAGATGAGAGGTGATGCTGAGGCTATGAAGGAGGCGAATGCCGGGGCGAAGGACTCGGTTAATAATAGGCAGGAACAGAGTGGATATTAGGACGGGCACGGGATTTGGCAATTTGTATGTGTAGGATATTGATGGACGGAGTTTGACGGTTAGAAATGGGCGGAGATATCACTATAGATATTGAGATGGACATAGGTATAATTTGAGACTCCCTCTGGTTGAGGGACTGATGCAAATGGGTTAGTCAATTGTTTCCCTCTGATATGGCGGATGGGTGATGATTCTACTTCAAAAGTTGTAGAGTAGGTATGAAGTAATGAATATAATAGTCTTTTTCTTGTATTGAATCATCTCCCGTTAAGCTTACTTACTTTACCATGTGCAAATGTGAGGCACCCTCGGGCGGGTACTCGATACAAGCAAGAGCAAACAGATGGAAAAGCAAACAAACACTTTATTTTCGCCACAACACCTTCTTTCCCATTTCCTTTCCTCTTAATCCCAGATAACCCCTCAAAAAGAAAAAATGGTAATCTCACTTCCAACAAGTTAGAGAAATGCAAAAAGAACGAGTCTTTTGATACTGGCTTGCTCGGTATCAGGATCGAACTGATGATCTCCTCTGTGCTACATCTACTTTGTGGGGTGTGAGAGAGGCGCCTTACCACTAGGCCAACCGAACTTTGGTTTTCTCTGTGTTTTTGAGAGGGGTTTGTTATTGATGGGTTTATGGGGGCTGGAAGGTGGGAATGAGGTGAATGGGTTGTAATAGAGTGTGTTTGCTGGGGAAGGAGCGAGGGGGGAAGGGGTGACGAGGGTGGGTGATCTTCGGATGTACTGGGGGATTTGGGGGGTTTCGCTTGGATAGGTTCTGGGGGCGAGGGGGGTTATGTGGTGGGGAGTTTAGATGGATGGAGGTGAGAGGTCTACAGGTTCACTTTACTAGAAACAGATGCTAATTGTCAGAAAAGTTTCACTGATAAATAGGATGAATTCTACCCAACGTTTCCCAGTCATGCAACTAGCAAGAAGAAAATGAGCGATGCGGCGATGGCTTATTTCGGAAAGACAGTCAACGGTTTTCTCATATTTATTTATTTATTTATTACTATTTAACGTCAGGCGGAATCTAACTCGCGTGGGCTAGGTCCTAAAAGTCCCATTGTTGGGCAAATGACGCTAGGGGGGTGCCCTAGGCTACAGGGGGTGTAAATGAAAGTGCGCTAATTTACAAGAGATAGTTTAAAGAGAAGCCCCACTTCCGGAACAACTCTCATTCTGAGTTAGTTTAAGAGCCAGAGTAAAAATAAGTTAACAGTGTACAAGATAGTGAGTAGAGAACAAGAGAAG